GATGAATGGCTAGCCAGTGATGAGGTTGCAAAGCCCAGACATGATTAGTGTGTCACACATGAATTGAGGAAAAATTATAGTAACTTATTGCACTGCACTCATGAGTTATCCAGAGATCTTTGAACCCAGTGCAATGATTACACAATCCCATGGAATTGCAGCAGCCCCCCATTACAAATGGGGATTCTCATAAATCGCAACGCCAGTCGACAGCTTCGAAAGTTATTGGTCCCTGGAACACCTGTGACCCCCAACGATGATGATCGCTGGGCAATCCTCCAGTGCCTGCAAAGCCCACAATCGAGGGGAATCATCGCCGGGCATCGCGCACACATGCAGATGATACAAATGGACGGCACAGCTGGACAATCCCCTAACGAACTGGGCAGTTAGTGCAGGATAAGGAGAGCTTCTCCCAAGTCCGTTACCTTTACCAAACTCGGAGTATAGAGTTCCATCCAATTGACGAATTGACCCAAGCATCAAACCAGACAGAAGAGAAGGCCACACAGAAAAAAAAAATATATGATATCTTATCAGCCCGATGATTTTGTACATTACATGAATAAACCGATACGATTATTATATGAAAATAATATCTATTAATGGGATACAATATCAAAAGGTTATGATTATAACGAAGGTAGCATGAGTAAGAAAAAAAATTTCGGACAGCAGAGGGATTCGAACTCGGCTTAGAAATGCGATTTAAGTAATATTTATACATGCGCTATAAACAACGTTATGATATATCAAAATAATAGATCAAAATATAATATCAAAAAAAACTGTAGCTAATAATGGAATACAATATTAAAATATTACTTTTTAATAATAAAAAGGGGAGTTTTACACAACGTAGGTCATTTTGATATGCAAACATAAAAAAAAAACACTTTTTTTGTGCCGTGCAGGTAGTTGGCCAACTGAATTGGCTAACTGGATTCTGGGATTCTCGATGGGCCATGGGAAAATGCAAATGATTGCGACACAAGGCACATTAGCATACAGCATGTAACTACAGTCCCGATTATGGTTATGATCAGCGTCCGCACATGTTAACAATGTGGCCCGACTTAACGGGTTGCCCCCACATACTAAACAAGGTATCAAGTCATCAAGGCATCAAGGGGTGTCCCTTTTTTATCGAAAGGGAAATCCTTGAGTAAACCTCTTACCATCACAAAACGGTAGCTTGATCTTTCGGGGCTCCACTGATGGATTCATTGACCTGGTGACCCCCGAGTGATTAGGCATTGTCTTAGTTCCCCCGCTTCTGGGTCATCAGCTATCAAAATATTTTCGCCATTAAGATCGGTGATTATATATTGTGCTCCATTCCCCCGGTCGCGAATACTGGAATTCCAGTTGTATATTGCCGCTCCGCACTCAAATAGATGGGCCAAGCTTCATTTGGCCTGATGATGATTACTCCACTTGCCACTCGCTCCTCCGCCTCCAGATTCCCGATTTCCAGATGCCAGACGGTTTTCTGCTCCTCAGCGACATTTGCTAATGTCTTCTGACGTACCGTTAGTAGTCGTTAGGCGCTAAAATCGTAATAAGTAAGCGAATTTCGCAGTGGCTCTGAGAATCTTTCATCATTTTCTATGGTAATGCCAAAAGCACCTGGGAAATGCCTTCACATTCAGTCTAAAAGATATATGACCTTGACTTTCTCAGAAACTCAATGAACTTTTGACCTCCAATCCAATTTTACTCAGAGTGGTTAACTATTTCTTTTATTCAGGGCGTAAAATTCACACATATTCATTCTACGATAAAGAAAATCTCTTTAATGACTCAAAAAAATCAATAAATTTTTATTAACTCTCAACAACTGAAAGGTTTAGGCGCACCAAGAGTTTTGGCAGAGTTCAAGATACAATTAGAGATATGTTTAAAAGTACTCACTTAGATCCACAATCTCTGTTAGATCTTAAGAAAGGTAATATTCATGTTATTCAATTTGTATTACAATGCTATCTAAACCTCATAGCACACCAAAATCCCAAAAATATGCAAAGCTTTTCCAAACAACACTGCCCAAAAGTGTGCAACATAACATGACAAGATGATTGTAGGTAAACAACCTGTTAAAAACTTAAATATAATATATTAAATGCAAAGTCCGAGGCATTGGGTTAATGAGAATAAGGCAACGCAAAAATCGGGAAATTTTCCTGGAAGTCATTTCGGCAGTGTTTCCATTAAAAATCCAGTTTTTATTTTCGTGAAAATCCAGGGGAATAATTCACTCGTTGCTCAAGCAATTGTTAATCTGCAATAACTCGGGGCATTTCCTTTCTTTTGGTTACTCTGACCAAGAGCTGTTCCGTTTATAGCTTATAGGTTAAAGCTATTGAATTATATATATTATATGCACCTGGTGTTATAAACTTCTCGATTCCTTGCGAAAATTCTTGATTCAATGTGACATTTTAGCAAAACTCAATAGTCAAACGGAGCACAAGCCAATCAATTTGTTCCGGTATTGGTATTGACAAAGAAAACTTCATCAGTTAGCGTGTTTTCCCATCGACCATGTTTTTCGTTGGCTTCTCTGTTTTGGGCTCGCTGTTTTTATTGTTCCACCGCCTGGCCAGCGTAACCATGGAGTTTCTGGCAAATTGCATCACAAATACGGCTCCGGCGTTTACCAATCCACACTCGTTGGCTGGCACACTCACTTAATGACGACGACTATCACCCAGTCAGTCTAGCAGCCAGCCAGGCTGCCCAGTCATTGGAAACGTTGCCTCGTCGGCTCGTGCTGATCCAGAGATCCACAGATCCAGGGGTGTGGACGACCATTACCCATTACCAATTGGCACACAGGCAGAAAATATGACATGATATAGTTGTGGTCTGTTTGATGATTTTTCATATAATATGGGATCAAATACTATTTTCGAGAATATTCAAAAAGGAAAACCCACTATCGTATATAGTGTCACAATATAATAAGTATCATAATAATAATGAAGATTTGCCAAAAGAAACAGTCAAAAAAAGTTATATGATGATTTTACATACTATTTTGGATCATAAACTAGCATAGCTATATGATATTTTCGAGGTAGATATTTAATATCCAATAGTTTATTGTATATAGTTTAAAAATAAAAAGAATTTTTAATGGGGATTTGCCAAAGACTTACGGCAATCAGACTTACACATCAAAACTTCATGATTAGTACTTATTATAGCACTTTACATATCAAATCGAGCTTTACGATTTTCACAAATAAAATTTTAGTATTATAATGTAATGTAAAATAATACTCATTAATACGGTATTATATCAAAATATATATAATATATGCAAATATCGAATAAATATGATTATTAAGAGCACTGGCCAAATAATTGCAATACTACACAAGAAGAAAACATTACAACTTTAATCTGCATATATCAAATCGATGTTTAGGTGTATATTTTTCTCTGTGCAGAGGGGAAGGGGACTCATCTCTTGGGAGTCTCCGCTCTACCCATTTCGCAAATCCGAGGTCGTTTGTTCCATCTATTGGGCATTGCAACATGTGCTGATTGCTCGTGTGATTTGTTTATCTCCTAATGAGTCGCTTTCTTTGCGACTGACTTCTGGCTTGGTTTGGCCAAAAAAAAAAGAAAAAAACTTTTCCAATTACCCAACAGGTGTTGGACCTCCGCTGAAATCAAGTATTTCATGTTCAAGTCCCATCTCGTGTTTCAAGTCTCAAGTCCCAAGTCCAATTACGCATTAGACGCAGACGCAATGCAAAGGAAGAAACATGAAATAGTTTGTCAACCTTTCGGTGGATAGCTTGACCAGTTGATCACTCTTTTTGGGATACTTAAATCTTGAGATCGGCAGCGGTTTTCTGAGGATTCCATGGGATTTGGAATCCGTTATTTATGCGTTAATCACTATTATAATAGTATATTAATATATGTAGCCAGTAAACATTATTTTGGCGAATAAATATAAATAAATAAATAAAGTGATTTTATATGCATATAAACTGAATACAAATTTTTTTGTTGTCCATACAAATTTTGGTCATAAAATGTTATTTTATTTTCTAAGTGCGTTTGTTTTTTTTCATCATAAACTGTTGAATTGAAGATCTCATAATATATTTTTATATATATGCTACATTTATCCATCATATTTCCACTAACTCACTTAGAATATTATTATATTATTTAAATCATTTTACCTCTTCTTTTTGATATTCTGTATTTCAGAGAACTTGATTATTGGATATAATTTTTAAGGAGAATTTATGTGACTCAAAATTCGGATTCTGCATAACCATTCTCCAATTTTAAAGCCTCGCTGCACACAGCCGACAACTTTTTGCAATCGAAAGTGTTCCAAGGGGCGTGTATCGCAGTCTTTCCACTTGGACATTGGACATTGTTTTGTCTGCGAGTAAATGGATTTTGGATTTTGGATCATTGCGACATTTTTTATGCCAGGTGCCTGTCGTCGTGCCGCTGCTATTATTTGTGGTAATTGTTTGGGCCATGCATATGGGAGCGAGTTCTGCGAGTTATCCGATCAGGTCACTCCACTCCACTCAACTCCACTCTACTCTAATACTCGTCCAATAGTCGAATCCAAGCCGAGATCACCTCTCTTTTGTGGGCACAACAGACACACACACACACTCCCAGACATTGCTGGCGAAAATTGATCATAAAAAGCATTCGTTTGGTTTCATTTAGGCAGTTGCTTTTGCCGTTTGCCGTTTGCAGTTTGCAGTTTGCATTTGCAGTTGTCAGGTTTTTGCGAGTGCATATAATATGCCTTCTGCTTGTTTGCTTTATAGCGCTTTTCCACACACTTCGGCTCCCAACTCCCAGCTCTTGGCTCCCAGCTCTTGAGCTCAGCTCAGCTCCAAAACTGCCATGTAGCCACGAATCCGAGTCCGAATCCGAATCCGAGCTCCCAGAGCTCCCAGCTCTTGGATGCCAACGTTGGCGGCGCTTGATCAGTTGCGGTTTTTACTTTCATCGGTTCGGTTGTCGTCGTGGTCTAGCCCCCCAAAAATATTTAAAAAAAAAAAACAACATCAGACAAGACCTGTCCAGAAAAACACACACATTTTGGTTTGCTTTTCTTTACATTGGGTTGGTTTTGCTTGGATTGGCTTGGCTTGGCTTGGCTTAGCTTGGCTCGACTTGCACATATGTTTGTCCATCCAATTGCCACTTGGATTGTGTTATTTTTTTTGTTTGTTCGGTTGGGGTGGACTAACAATTGTATTGCAAAGCCACCCACTAAAAAGTGTTTATGTTTAGAGGGGGCAAAACCGACCCTCACCTTTCACTTTTTGCCCCACTTGGACATTCTAATAGCGAGCTAATCGAGATAAAATACACCAAAACCAATTACCAGCAGCTCGACATCATCAGCGGCTCCCTCTCAAGTCAAAAAAAAGTTTCCTTGAATGGAAAAGTTTCACTCTCCGGTTGAAAAGGTCCAGGTTCGAAACCCACAGCTGTACAATGATGATTTGTTTTCCGAAGTTTCTTGCAAATGTTCATGATATGTTTCTTCCATCAATTCCTACGTTTTTTTGCTTAAAATTAAAACAAATATATACACATTTTCCCAAAAGAAAGTCTTTTTTTGTTTTTGCCTTGATGTGCGTATAATATTGAGATAGATTTTCTTTGATCAATCAAAACGAAATTGCATAATATGGTGCAAATGCAAGTGGGCAGTGGCGATGATCATCGTCACACCATCTTGGCGAATTGATACGCGGAAGTTATATAACGAATGATACCAATAACCTCCCGACGCGTCGACGCTTTTCCAGCTTGGCCACGACCACGACTACTGGCTACTGGTGGTGGTCGACAACACGTTTAACAAGTTTTTCCCATTCGGATTTCAGGAAATTTTGCAATTTTCCCCTTGCCGCTTTTCGCAGAGCTCGCTGGCCTGCCTAGAAACAAATCAAAACGCGAAATCGATTCATAAACAAGTGAAAATTACGTTCAAATTCCAAGATTATCCAAGAGCACACAGCCAAGTCCAAAGCCTATTGCCTGCTAAAAACCCCAAGTCCTTAAGGCTCTTATCATGATGAAGTCTTCGCCTTCGCCTTCCTTTCAGTTGACCACAAAGCAGCAAATAGCAACCACCACATCCATGACTGACCGCACCAGAATCTGAGATTGCGACAATGACAGCGGAGGAGCACAAGGGATTCGAGAACTGTGCGCACATTTGCGTCCCGCGGGAAAACCAGCAGAATACCTAAAAGACAATGCAGGGCAGAGATTAGCCGAACATTGCACCAGAGATCCAGAACAGACACAAGTCCAGAATCTAGATCGCAGACTAAAGAGGGAAAAGGAAGCCCACTGCCCAGTGGCAAATATGCAATACCCAGGGATTGCCTTGGTGGCTGCTCTACTGCTCATCTCATGCAGCTCCGCCAAATGCTCGAATGAGACACAAAAAGCGGAGGCAGAGGCCCTCACGGGACATCGATTTACGAGGGGCAACATAACCATACTGCATGAAGTGCAGGAAGCGGACTCTGACGAGTCGTCACCACTGATTTTAAACACACACGAAGTCCTGCCGCACAAGCCGCTCAAAAAGAAACCCTACCTGCCGCTGGAGAAGATCCTGCCGAGCATTGAGTATGTGAAACCGCCGCATCCACTCAAGGAGTATGAACTGCATCCGGTCACCTTTGACTTCAATTTGGGCGATCTGGAGGACCTGGAGCACGAAGTGATCAAGAAGGGAGATCTGAGCAGTCAGGAGCAGCATGTCTTGGCCTCGGACACCAGCTACAGTCCCTCCAATCCCGATGAGAACGATACTGTGGATGTGGACATATCAGAGCTATCCACAGAGCCCACAACGGCTAGTTCTCCGGGCACAACAACGACGTCGTCGTCCAAGACAACAACTACGACGACTACGACGACGAGTGCTCCGGCCACAACATCCACCACCGCCAGCACGCACATTCTGAAAATCCTGCGCAGCAAGCCACAAATGGTGCCCAAACTGGGTCGCGATCTGCTCAAGCAAAGCGGTGACGATGACATGCAGCTGAAGACCTTGGGCAGCACCATCAATAGCATTAATCGGTACTTGGGAGCCAATGCGAATGGCACGGGAAACGGCAGCATGGCCGAGAGTCTTTATGGCCAGGCCAACTATTTCCAGCTGGTGGCCAATCTCTATGACCACTTCTACTGGCAGATATCCGAGATTCGGACGAGTGTTCGCACGGCTTGCGGCCTCGAGATGCAGGCCTATCTGACAGCCCTGCATTCCAGCTACGAGTGGGCCCAAAAGGGTGAGTCTTTACATTGGCACGTACATAATAACAAATGTGGTACTATTTAGTTTACCTAAGAAAACAAATATGTGACTACTTTTAACCTTATCTAGGTATTGATTTTAAAATACCTTCGTCAAAAGCTGTTAAGGTACTGAAATATATTCGTACAAAACAACAAAAGCTTTTAAATTACTCATTATTATTTTCGTTTATATGAGTATAAAAAAAAATAAAAATTAAATTAAATTATAAAAATTAAAAATATAAATATTTTGTATATTTGTTTCTTTTTAAATGTGTCCATAATCAGACATAATTTCCATTGCGTTCAAAAAATAGTATAATTTAACTATAAAAAAATGTATGTTTTATAACATTTTTTCACCTTTTTCCTTTCCTTTTTAAAGTATAAATGGTGTACCTTGTACCATTATTTATTTCGGAATTAGCTTGTCCTTTTTTTTGCTGCTAACCTCTAAAATAATTTTCATTTAAAAACCATTCCAGCCTATGACTCATCTGGACGGTATCGTGGCCAGCTGCTCTTTGGCAACGACAAATGGCTGGGTCAACTATCGTTTTGCTACGAACTCAATCGCCAGAGTTCGAGTGAGGAGCGCAAGCACTTCGATATGGAGTTCTATGTGGCAGATGTGGCCCTACACTTGCCCCGTCTAAACCGATCGGTGGGTAATCCCATGATCTCAGTTTGTAAAGCAACCACTAATTTCTGTCTTTAGATGCTGTTGAGTCTGGGCGAGTGCTTGCCCAAATCCTGTTCCGCCCACGATGTGCAGTCCATTTTGTCCCTGGATCCCTATGCTCGAATGCTGACTGTCTTGGGGGCACACAATACCTCGGTGCAGCAACCTCCGCTCCAGGTTCTGCACGTTCGCACTGTGCCGGGACTCTATAGTCACTGGCGGCAGCTGAAGTTCCAGGTGTTCATGTAGGTTTTCTACTTTAGCAAAGCCTTTTTCACTTAATCCAAGCTGTAATTCCCCCTTTGCAGTAGCTTTATGCTCACCCTATTTCTGGTGATTCTGGTGGCATCCTATTACCAGCTCAAGATCGATGAACGTCGCTTGGTGGTGGCCCCCATTGCGGCCATCAGTGGCAAATGCAATGGAACTTCGGCCAAAAATGGTGGCTTCTATAGCAAACCCTTCGAGCTTTTCCAGATGCGTCCACTGGGCAGCACAATTGCCTCAACCGATGGGCCCGCTGTCGAAATGGATGTCAATGGGAATCGACAAAGACCGGGGGATTCAACCGATATGGCAGATGGTGGCAGTCCAGGTGTAGCTTGTGATCCCAACACCTCGACATCGGGACTGGCGGGCAAATCGGAAATGACCGATTACCAGGTGGAAACTGGAAGCTGTGCCGGAGCCACCGGAACTTATGAGGCAGAGCAACCTGTTGGTAAGTTAGGTTTCAGAGTTTACCACATGCTAAGAAGTGATTAACGCCCCTTTTCAGCTTTGCACCAACAAATACTGTTGTGCTTTGCCTTGCAAACGAATGCCAAGGCCATTCTAAATATCGACAAGACCAAGGAGGTAAGTTTAGAGGTAATGTATCCATAAAGACCAATTTATCTGCTACTGCTGGATTCCCTTAATAGACCCACACCTCCTGTCTGCACGGTCTGAGGGTCTTCTCCGTTCTATGGACCATGATGGTGCACACCTATCTGCAGATGTTTGCCATTGGCGAGAATAAAGTAAATATAAAACTTAGACTTTAAGCGGTGTGAACATGAGTATTAACCAAGTGCATAAAATTCAGTTCGAGAGGGTCATCACAGAGCGATCGGTTTGGTATCAGGTGATTGGCAATGCCACGTTCTCGGTGGACTCGTTCTTCTTCATCAGCGGCCTGCTGGTCACTCTTCTCTACCTCAAGCAGGATCGCAAACATCCTGCAGAGACGTGCCTCTTCATTAAGCGCAGCTGTTCGGAAACATTCATGATGCTGCTCTATCGCTATCTGCGACTCACTCCAGTATATCTCTTTGTGGTCATCTTTAATGACTTTGCCGTACGGTGAGGGTTCTATTTACATTATCAATTTTTTGGTTATAATCTGGATTATGTTTTGCAGACAAGGTCTGGACTCTTCGGTTTTCCAGCCGGCCAAAATCGAGCACAACACTTGCCGCGTCTATTGGTGGCGCAATATTTTGTATATAAACAACTATTTTCCGCAGACTGAGATGTGCATGATGTGGAGTTGGTACATGGCCAATGAAATGCAGTTCTATGTGATGGCTGCATTGCTCCTAGCCCTGGCCAGAAAGTAGGTTAAAGCTCCTCCGGTTTTGAAACGAAGTTCCAAAATCCTTTTCCCTTAGATACTTCAAAGCTGTGGCCGTCACGCTGATTGTCTTTCTGCTCAGCTCGTGGAGCATTTCGGGTATAATTTCCCTGCAGCATCAGTACACCCACAAAGTGGCGCTGCCTTTCGAGTCTTTCGACTTCTTGTATGACAAACCCTGGCAACGAGTGGGCTCTTATATAGTGGGTAAGTAAGCTCTCTCAAGTATGTGTAATCAAACCACGCGGAAATTACCCAGTTGAAAAGAGGAACATAAGCCTATATTACAATGGTTCAAATTTACCAAGACATAGTACTAAAATATTATAAATGAATTAAGTTTTAGATTGGTGGGTTTATTGGAAGATATCAACTGTAAGCTCATATAAAACTTAGAAAAACTTAGATTTTTTAAAAACTCAACTGTAACCAAATATAGACATTCCATTTAAAATTTCGATATAAATATAAATATTGAATAAAAAACAATACAGAAAATGCTAATAATTTTGTTGGTCGATAATAACGTTTTATCCCACAAATTTTGTGAATATTTCGGAATATGTATTATTTGTATTCTATTAAGAAAAAACAATTATTGACTCACCCTATTTCACCATCCATTCACTTGCAGGCATGTGCGCCGGTTATGTTTTGTATAAGGTGAAGACTCCACCGCTGATTTCCCGGCGCTTAAACCTTTCGCTTTGGGCGGCCAGCCTGTTTGTCCTTTTGATCGTGGTCTTTGGCGTTTGGGAGGGACAGCTGAGCACCGTCAATACCGCCTTCTACGTGGGCGTGGCCCACACCGCCTTCGGATGTGGACTGGTGTGGATCGTATTGTCCTGTTGCTGGGGATTGGCGCCCACCGTCAACGCGATCCTGTCGTATCGCGTCATGTGGCCACTTTCGCGGCTCACCTACTGCGCCTACTTGATCCATCCCATCATCATGTTCATCTGCTCCTCGCACATGAGCGGCACCGTCCATCTGAGCAATCCCCTCATCCTGACCCTGTTCCTGGGCAATGCCGTCGTGTCCTTCTGCTCGGCCTTTGTCATATCCGCATTCTTCGAGGCGCCCGTCATCCGAATACTCAAGATCTGCTTCAAAAAGTGATCATGTCATGAATATCTGTAATGGAATTTCCGTTGATTATCTAGCCGTTGGGTAGCCAATTTCGTTAATTGTTGGTTGCGCTTACCCATCTGAACATATGAAGTCTAGTTTGTTTCTTCGCCCACTGTTTTTTTTTTTTTTTTTTGCGTGTCTGCAACGAAATAATGCACATAAAAATGTCAGCTAATGTTTATAAATATCTCTAGACCTACTTATGTTATGTATTTGTATATATTAAGAGGGTTTCGTCAGTGCGAGTGGAGTGTTTGAAATAAAATATAACTAAAACATAAAGTGATTATGTGGATTTCAATTCTTACAATGGGGCGTCTCATCATTGATAACTGAACATACATACATACATATATGAATTTGGAAATAAATCCTAACAGAGATAATTATTTTTAATATTTAACTAACTAACTATTTCTTATGTTGTAAAGGAAAAATACTTATCAGTTGGTGAGTTTAATTCGTGGGCGCTCATTTTGGACGGATTTTCAACCATAATTAATATATTCTCCACTAAGTTGCAATTCCCGCGATCCGTAGAATCCAAAGTTTAACCGGATGATTTTTGGTATATTAAGAACATCACCGCTTAGTCAGTAAAGCCATGTCCATTTGCTTTAATTTGTTGGCCACCTTTCTCCTTTTCCTGCAGGTTAAAAAAGACACTTTCAACTTGTTCGCAAAAAAGACGGCAAAACAAAATGGCGGATTTCACGTGGAGCCCGATGGCAAAAAGCTGAACTCCTTGCCGCAGTGCTTTGGATTTGCCGGTTTCCTTAGGCCAATTTATGACACATGCAGCAGACTGCAAGGTGCCCTGTCCTGTTCCCCAATATCAGAATTATCGGGTTCAGCCTGAATCGGGCTTTATCTTTAGCTTTCTAAACGGTGCAAGGACGCCGCGCCAAGTTATCGCCAATCGATTGTTAGCAACTTGTCAGTAGTGTGGCCAGCGCCCTAATAAAATATAGCTAAAAAAAGCTAGTTTCTGCTTAATTGGACAATTTGGCTATAAATATTTGAAATCTAGCTTAAACAGATGTTTAAGCACTACTTAAGCATTTAGCTGAACTTTTAACTTATAATCGTGTTCCAAATCAGAAATAAAATGAACTCAAAATAACCAGGAAATGTTATTGACTTTTGTAGTTGGAAGAATTTAACATGGCCAACATTGTTCAGGAAGTGGTGAGCTGGACAAACTGAGTGGAATAATTTTGGCCACTAAAAGCGATCTGGAATAGATTAGCAATAAACTATCGCTTTGTGAGGGTTTGTGCTAGTAATGTAAATGTAAATTGTAATTTGTAATTGTAAATATATATATTTATTAATAATTCTTTCTATTTGCAGATTTTGAAATATAGGTATAAATTCTCAAATATATCGATAAGTCATGGAAACATCGATGAATATTCGTTACCATATCTAATTGACTGCCACCTTTAATACACGTGCGCGATTTTTGTAAACAAAAATGCATTTAAATTAATTTTAAAGCCGCAGCCAGTTAAATTAAAAAAAAAATGTCGCGAATTATAGTAAAGCAGCTGCCGAAGCATGTAAGTAAATTGGGTTTAATCCTTTGAAAGGCTGTAAAGTAAAAAAAATCCGCTTATCAGATCACCGAGGATAAACTGCGACAGATTTTCGGTGCCCAGGGAACGATTACGGATCTGCAGCTGAAATACACGCCCGATGGCAAGTTCCGGCAATTCTGCTTCGTGGGATACAGCTCCGAGGAGGAGGCCCAGTCGGCCATCAAGCACTTCAACAACACATGCATCCAAACCAGCCGGGTGCGCGTTGAATCCTGTGCAGCTTTGGGCAGCGAGGAGAAGCCCCAATCCTGGAGCAAGTACGCCAAGGACAGCAAGAAGAACCTGGACAAACTGAAGGCCAAGGAAGAGGAGGAGGCGGCGGCGGCCAAGGCCAAGGAGTCCAAGAAAAAGAGCAAGAACAAGGTGGATCAGATTCTGGGCAGGCACAAGGATGATCCCGACTTCCAGGAGTTCCTGCAGGCCCATGACAAGTCACGCACTCTGTGGGGCAACGATTTGGGGGTAAACAACAACAACAATCAGGAAGAGGAGGATAACGAGGAGGAGCGGGAAGATCCACCAGCTGGCAGGGATGACAGTGGAGTGGATGCTGATGCAGGCGATGAAGATGCTGCAGAGGATGAAGCAGAAGAAGAAGAAGACACCGGAAAACTGGCCGAGAAGCCAATTAGCGATCTGGAGTATATGAAATCGCTGATGGCGAAACCTGCTGATACCGCCCCAAAGAAGACCAAACCGAAGGCGGACAAGTCCGACCTGGAGCTGTTCACCATCAAAATCCACAATGTGCCCTACAACACCAAGCGTCAGGAGGTGCTCAAGTTCTTCAAGCCGCTGAAACCCTACTCCGTGCGACTGCCGAGCAAAGTGCACGGCTTTTGCTACGTGGGCTTCAAAACGGAGAAGGACATGGCCAAGGGGATGCTCAAGGACAAGAGCTTCATCAAGGGCAAGCAGGTGTTCTTCTCCGACTTCACCGAGAAGAACAAGGTGACCAAGGCGAACAAGAGTGGCCAAACAGTGGCTCCTGCCGGCGCCGCCGCCGCCGCCGCGGATGCGGGCAATGCCAAGTGGAAGCACCAGCAAGACAGCATATCCAAGGAAGACGACATTTCGGAGTCCGGTAGGATATTCTTCCGCAATCTGGCCTACACCACCACCGAGGAGGATCTGCGTAAGCTGTTCGAGCAGTTCGGTCCCGTCGTAGAGGTGAACCTGCCGGTGGACAAGCTCACCCGTAAGATCAAGGGCTTTGGCACCGTTACCTACATGATGCCCGAGCACGCTTTGAAGGCTTTCAACGCTTTGGATGGCACGGATTTCCATGGCCGTCTGTTGCACCTGCTGCCCGGCAAGGATATCGAGAAGAATCCACAAGACGATCTGGATGAAAACGATGCCAGTCTCTCATTCAAAGAGAAGAAGGCCTTGAAGCTGAAGAAGAATGCACAGAAACCGATTGGTTGGAACACACTGTTCCTGGGCGCAAACGCTGTGGCGGAGATCCTGGCCAAGCAATTCAAGACCTCCAAGGAGCGCATCTTGGACACCAGCGATGGTGGAAGTTCGGCCGCGGTGCGTTTGGCCTTGGGCGAAACCCAGATCGTCATCGAGATGAAGCGTTTCCTCGAGGAGGAGGGCGTCCGACTGAATGCCTTCGATGAGCCCGCCAAGAAACGATCCAACACTGTGATACTGGCCAAGAATCTGCCGGCGGCCACCGAAACGTCGGAGCTGACGCCCATCTTCAGTCGGTTTGGCCCGATCGGCCGGATTGTGCTGCCCCCCAGTGGCGTTACGGCGCTCATCGAGTACTGTGATCCCTCGGAGGCGCGGCAGGCATTCAAGAAGCTGGCCTACAGCAAGTTCAAGAATGCCCCACTCTACTTGGAGTGGGCTCCCGAGCAGGTCTTCACCACGACCCTCAGTGGAGAGCCAGTGATTCCCAAAACGGAACCGAAACCGGAACCCAAGGAGGAACCCAAGCAAAAGGAGAAGCTAGAGGAGGTTAAGAAGGAGGAGGTGGAGAAGAATCCCCGGGCCGAGGATGCCGATGATGAACCCGAACCAAATACAACGCTCTTCCTGCGCAACCTGAACTTCAAGACCGTGCAGGAAACCGTGGAGAAGCACTTCCGCCACTTGGGCAGCATTCACACCGTGGAGATAGCGAAACGGAAGGATCCCGAGAATCCACGGAACTTCAATTCCCTGGGCTACGGCTTTATCCAGTTCAAGAAGTCCTCGGTGGCGGAGCATGCGCTCAAGAACCTGCAGCTCACCCACATCGATGGCAATCCCGTGGAGCTCAAGCGCAGCGATCGGGTGCTCAAGTAAGTCAGCTGATCTTCGCAATCTTCAGCCGATTAACCCTCTGATCTTTTCCAGGACACACGACAATGAGGGAGCGCAACGTCGACTGGCCTCGCAGAAGAAACAAACGGGCACCAAGATCCTGGTGCGGAATATTCCCTTCCAGGCGCAATATCGCGAAGTTCGCGACATATTCAAGTGAGTCATTGGTCATACCAGTTGCGTAAATTATGATCCTAATCTTTTTCGTTGTTTCCAGGGCTTTTGGCGAGCTGCGCTCCTTGAGGATACCCAAAAAGGCAACCACCGGCGAGGATGCGCATCGTGGCTTCGGTTTCGTTGACTACATGTCCAAGGCGGAGGCGAAACGCGCCTTCGACGCTTTGAGTGCCAGTACCCATTTGTACGGTCGTCGTTTGGTCCTCGAGTGGAGCGCCAACGACGACAACCAGGATGTGGAGGAGCTGCGGAAGCGGACGGCGGCCAAGTTCGGCGACAGCCAGGCGTCAGCGGAGGCCAAACGCAGCAGGAAATCCTTCTTCGATGTGGATGGCAATGTGCAGCCCAATCAAGACGAGGACGACGAAGAGCAGTAAACCACGGACTCAGTTCATGATTGATTTGAATGTATATAAAGTACAAGTTATAATAAATATAAATTATAATTTTATAAAATCAAAAACCCACTGCCTTTCTGAAATCGCGAAAGAAAACATTTATAGCAATTTCTAAATAGAATATATTTTATTTTACGCTTCTGTTTATATAAAACCTAAATAATTAATATAAAACAAGACGAAAAAAAAAACAGAATTTTATAAGCAAAACACATACATCGTACATTGTATATCAATCATTGATCAATCAGCCGGAAAAAACTCGCTACCTCACTTTAGTAAATTATATAGTACTAGTAATAGTAATTAATTATATATAGGTAGGTATATATATATATATATATATATATATATATACATATATGTAAATGTATATGTCTCTAGATATATACGTGTAATATTGAAAATATTTGCAATTTTCTGCTTTCCCTTTTTTTCTTTTTTCTGTTTTTTTTTTGTTGCAATAGTTGCAGTAAGCTAAAGGTTCGCATTTAAAGGTAAAGCATACAGTCTACAGATCTACGGATATATCTGTAATACATGGGAATAATATTTAGTAAGCGGAGGAGCGCAGCTATTTAGTGTTAGACACTTGATCATCCCAGGTGTGTGTTGTTGTGGTTGTTGTTTTTGTTGTTGTTGATGTGTGTTGTGCGTGTGTGTGAGCCCGCCATTGAGCAGATTTCTTCACATTCCCGGGGCTCCTTCTTGAAATCCCAGGGCTTTCGAATTCCTCGCCAGATCGATTCTGATCTTCAGTTTTTAGTTGCAGTTTCGGTTTTCTGGTATTTACAATTGGCAGCGCAGGTGTTTTGAAGTGTTTTTTTGGGTGTTTCTTTTTCTTTTTGTAGGCTTTAAAAGGTGATTTTAGGCGTTTTTAAGGTGATTTTCTTTTCAGGCGATTTAAGTGTCATTTGTGCAAGGGGGCGTGGCAGACAGGTGGGGGCGTGGTGCATGCATTAGGCTTTCCATCGAAATTTCGTTCGTATTACCGCTATTGCTATGTAAAAAAAATATATAAATATATATATATATATATTCCATATGTATATCTGTGCAGGCTGCAATGCTCTCAAAATCCTTTCTAATCCTTCTTGATGCGCGCCTGCAGGAAACAGTAGAGGATTCCGGCCTGGGCCATCACATCAACAGTGCTGGCCGCCAGCGGATCCTTCTGCTTCACCTGCGTCTGTCCCGGCCTCAGCAAGGTGGGCCCAAACACCATGGCCAGATTGTGCAGCGACATCTTGTTGTCCGCCTCCTTTTCGTGGACTCTATAAGGGATAAAGATAAGTGATTACATAATCGTTCAGTTTGATATGGCAATCGAAAGACGCACCTAATAAGATGATCCAGAATCGAGGTGATGGAGGCCTTGTTGGCCTGCGGCAGCTCCTCAAAAACTTTAAGCAGCTCGTTGATTCGCGTGGCTTCGTTGTTGTTGCTAAAGGCGCTGAATGTGTCGAAGAATCGGGGATATAGCTGGTCCGTGAACAGGGCCTCGGGCAGCTCCCTCAGGAAGGTCTTCAAAATGCCAGTTACCGAATGGATGTCCACTTCGCGTAGTAGCTGCTCCGCCTCATAGGCATCTGATTAAAAATCAATGGGTTATATAATTAAGATTGTTTTACTTCGCAAAGGCAGATCTACACTCACCCGACTCGAAGGCCTTCTTGAGCTTGGCCAAATCCGAGGCGGAACCGCTGACGCGATAGCAGCCCACCTCCAGCATGCCCCTTCGCTCCACCTCCCGAATGCAGGCACTGATGATGAACGGAATGTCGCGTTTCTCGCGTCTAAATGGGGTTAAAACTCCCAAAGAATTAGTAAGAGGAAAGTGGGAACAAAAAGACGTATATACCCACTTTAATACTTGACTCATTTTGGCACCAAAGAGCGCTCCTGGTTTGGTGGTGGCACGGCACAGCTCGCCGGGCACAAACCGGAAACTGCAGCCCAGCTCCAAAGTCTCACTTAGCTTTATTGTTCGCGGCTGTGTGGTTTCCGTCAGCCAACTGAGGCTCAACTGTGGGATCAATTATGAATATATGTATATATATATATATATATATCAAATGCTAACAAATGAGGGCAGCGTATAAAGACCCACCTTGAGTATGTGCTTGGCCCTGAGGAGCGGTCGCTCCTTGGCCTCGTACAACAGGATCCGGACATTTTGGCTGCCCTCCAGTTCCAGCATAAAGCTCTCGTTCCACAACGGCGTCTGGCTGCGACACACCATCTTGGTGGTGGCCTTGCGGAAGTAGTGGCCATACGAGTCCACCTCGATGCAGATGTACAGATCGGCCGCCTGCTCCAGACCACCCAATCCCTGGACAGCCATGTGCAGGTCGCCAACCAGCAGGCTCTCGTCGTTGAAGTTGCGCATCAAATACGAACCCATTTCAGTCTTCATGCCCTTCTGCATGGCCACAATGAAGGCGGTGACCTCCAGCGAATTGATGGTATTGGCTCCAGGCAGGTTGCACTTTTGCTAATGTGTATGGTTTAGGGAAAAGGACTTATTAGACTAAGTGTAAATGAAGTTAATGTTATAAATATGCGTGTATTTTTCGCGGGAGAATGCAACGCATTTGGGCGCTATATCACTCTTCTAAGTACGAAAACACCCTTTTCATCATGGAAAACTAACCTTAAGGGATGTGATCGAGTCGATCCACTGCGTCCGCTCAAAGTCCGAGCTGAGGAAGAAGGTCATGGTCTTGTTGTTGGCCTTGTTGCCCAGCCGCAGCACCAGATTGGGCGTGGCCAACACCAGCTGCGACTCCAGATCCTCCAGCTTGCGACGATACTTGTCACCGGAACGGACACCGCCGCCCCCGCTATTGGCCACCTCCATTGCCAATTGATCTCGAACGGAGCGCAGATTGCGCTTCACTTGCGAAATGTTCGCGGGACTAGATTCCTTGAGCTCCGCCGCCGGATCCGTCTCCTCGAAAATGGATATGTCCTTCAGCGGAATGAACCACTTGAGCTCATAGTCGATGCGATCGCGGCCCAGTGCCTTGTACTTGGCACTCGCAATCACATCGTTGAAAAGGAAGAGATGCCGCAGCTTCCGATGGCCATCGACCAGTTCCACGATGAACGAATTGCGCACCATGCGCCTTAGATTCCGATTCGATTCGCTGGGCAGCCGCTGGTTGACCACATTGAACTGGTTGAGGAACATCTGGATGATCTTCTGCGCCTGCCGCAACGGCTGATGATCCGGATGGGCATTTGGTGTTTCGCGAAGCAGATCGTTGAAGACCAACGCATTGATCTGCACCCGTGCCACCGGCTTATGGAGTAGATCCTCGAGCGTTAGCGATTGCTCCGTCTGCAGATTAACCACTATTGTCGAGACGATCTTCTTGAATTGCGGATTATTCGCACTGCACTTCTTCACCGTCTCGATGGCGTTCTTGTAGTTGTGCAAAAAGGCGCTGTACAGGTCGAACATCTCCGCCAGACGGCGAAAGGGCTCACCGATCAGCACATCGCCTCCCTCGTGGGACACGATCGTCTTCAGATCGGACAGGAAGGCGGTGTGCAGATCGTGCAGTTCGTCTATTTTGAAGAAGATCGTGTTCTCCTCCTCCTCCTTAATCACAGGCTGCGATGTGTTCAGGGTTGCGTGGATGGCCTTTTTGTACTGCATTTCGTAAGAATATTCATTAGCCACTTTATAAATTTGTATAGTATATCTGAAAATCACGGCTCATTTTTTGTTTTACTTTTGTGTTCAAAAACTACGTAACTTATATTATAATTCTAAGTGAAACTGTTTGGACTAATTAAGCAATAAGAAATATTTTTAATTTGGGCAGACCCCATTACAATGCAAACTTGGTCCTTCGCGCCGGATTACTCACCTGCATCATTTTATTAAGACACTCCACGTAAATCGTCTCGCTCTGGATAATGGTGCTGAGTATGGATCGTATTTTGGCACCGCGCGCATTTCCAGAAACCTAATAAACGGGAAAACGAACAACTTGAATGAAATGGGGGTTTTGGGATACACAACGAATGTACACGCAAAGAATGGTGGATGGGGGTAACAAGTGTCTATAACTGCTTCAAACCATATCCAAAACAAAATACATTTAATAACCTTGCAAACCGATTAAGACTTCACAGAATTTCGCAAGACTATGTAAACACTAAAACTAAACCAAACCTGGCATGAAATAGATGAGACAGGGACAGCAATACGCTGTCACTGCACGATTAATGGAAGTAAAAAGGACAAAACCATATGAGGAAATTGATCTTGGGATCGTGTGCATATATACAATCGTACAAAACAATTAAATGGGTGTAATCGTGGGCGTAAACTGAAGCACAAACGAAGACAGAACTCAAATAGGAAACATGAAAACAAGCGCATTCAAAAGCAATAGCTATACAGATTATGTTACACAAATATTTATATATATATATATACAGAAATGAATGAGCAATGCAGTGGGTGCTCGCAATGGAAAGATCACTTTAACCAATCCCATCTTATCAAGCACCCACTGTGAGAAAGTTGAATACTACGTTAAGAAAAGCTATGGCAGCAATATAATCCTGATCCGGTACTCACAAGTATCGCTGAAACTAAGTTCTGTTGGAAAAAGAAAACAGAAACAAAAAATCTTGGTTAGTACGGTATTAGTAAATAAAATTGAAATCTTAAAGTGTAGATGGTTGTGAATTTTAATAAGTTTGGCAGGTTACGTTTTTTAGCAAACTTTATTTTAGTGATTTGTAATAAAATCATATGTAGTTCAGTAGTTTTTGAACTTATGATTCAGCTGGCCGACACTTCGTGACTACATATTTGCAGTACGTTTATGTCATTTGATGTCTTAATCATTCATTAAAATCAGTGATTAAGAATAAATGAATAAATTAATGTGTTATAAATAGAAAATTGGTAAGAATTGGAAAAGACTTCTGATATCTTTTAATATTTTTCATATATAAGTAAGACTAAAAAATATAATCTTTCTGTTCTCTGAAATATTAAGATTCGCCATTTACTCCCTTAAGCGCATGCAATTTGGAATCAATTAGCGATAACAAAAATATGTTAAGTGCTGTGGCGTGCGCTTAGTCATCTTAATCATCAGGAATGGGATGGGACGGTTTGGGTTGGGATTGCATCAACCCCAGTCTATCAGTCTATCAATTAGCTTTAAGCTTAGCTACGGAACTACGTATTTGTTAACGTCGTTATTGTTATTGTTATTGTACTGGTTAAACACAACGGACTACTTTGTGTAGTCTGGGAATGGGCAATGTTGGCTGACTGACTGAGATAACCAGAAAATGGGCACTCGTTTATTTCATCTGAAAACTTTGACAACGAACCTTGCGAAGTGCTCCCGGCGTGGTTTGTGACGTGGTGGTCTGTTCGTCGTGCGAAATGGTACGCAATATGGGCGGACCCTCGTACTCCCCGTCGCTGTCCAGCGAACTGGAGCGCGTCTCATTGCTTTGCCTGTAATGCAATGGAACATATTAAATAGAGTTATCATATAGATGTGGTTATTAGTAAACTCCAAACTCACTGTAGGAAGTAGTCGATGTTGACGTAGTTGGAGGTCCTGCCTGGAGATTCGGGATCCGCCACATTGGCCAGGGGCAAAGTGCTGCTGCCGGGCGTCGACAAGTCGTCGCGACTGGATGAGGAGCCGGTGCGTCCGGGCTTAATGAACACGTACTCCCCGTCGCCGTTGTCCAGCGGCACGCTGTCGTAGTACGGCTCGTTGTCCACTGAATTTCCAGCGGCTGTCGCCGATAGCTGGGACGATGCCGCCGCCGCCTTGGCGCTATCCGAACTCAGCGAGGATACGCTCTCGTAGCTTTTGATCTAAAATGGAATGTCATAATCTCTTTAATCAAACTTTGCTATTATTTTTTAAAGCCTTCTCTTTGATTTGATTTTCAATTGTATACTCAAAGTTAAAACAGTATTTGGGACACGATCACTCATTAAAATCAATGATAAAGATATAAATTAATAAACAATTTAGTTTGTGTCTAAATATTTAATATAAATTAAAAACCAATGAATTTAAGCCAGGAAGAAAACTAGGGTAATGGGGTAAAATTTGTTGTCCACATGTAATTTTTAAATAATGTAAGCTTTCTGTTTATTTGGAATATTAAGATTAAGGGAGTTTCTAAATCTACTCCTTAGTAGTAATTTTAGTTTTATGAAAAAACTTGGGAAAGCCTTCTTTTTGATTTGGTTTTTCTAATCGTTTACTTTCAGTCATAAGTTTCTGGGACACTGACCATTGACTAGTTTAAAAAGGGATTTTGTGGGGAAACTCAACGTACCACCTCCGATATGCCTTGTGATGCCAGCGACTCCTTGGAGCCCGCACTTCGCTGGTTCGCCCCCGATCCTCCCGATCCCGATCCGGTCTCAGCATCGCTGGCCTGCAGGCAGTTGCGCGACTTCTTCTCCAGACTGCTGGTGGAACTGCTGTCCGCTGCTGCCAGTTTGACGGTTTTGTTCAGGCTACCAGTGGGCGAGGCACCCACGCCAGTTCGTCCCGGCGTCAGCGATCGTCCGGGAGTGGAGGCAGTGCGTCCCAGGCTGCCACCGCCGGAGGGCGAGGAGTCGTTCCTCTTCGCCTGCTCCAGGCTGTCCGTCTTGCCCACCATCTTGCGGCCCAGCTCCTCCATCAGTTCCGGATTGTTCACATTGACAAATTTGCCCAGCTCCGGTGTGGTTTTGCGATTCGCCGCATACTTGGAGTCCAGATTCTCGGAGGACTTCTGGCGCAGTATGTCCGAGGGCTTGATGTTCCGCTCCAGCGAGTTGCCCGGACTGTCGGAGGAGAGGCTGCCGCCGGAGCTGCTTGGCAGTGGCATTGTGCTGCCCACGAATGGAGTCTCTCGTTTCGGCGAGGACGACAGCTGCTGCTGGCCGGGAATGGTGGGCGGCTCCACGCGCCGAATGTTCTTTGGCGGAGGTCTGCAAATGGGAAGAACATGTATGCGATTAGAAAAATCATTAGAGAATCAAACATTTTTAAATGTACAGTGAATAAATCATTATTTCCTCACTAGAAATGTGTGTGTAACATTAGAAATATTATTAAAGAATATAACATTTTGAGGTTGATATTTTTACACAATAAAGAAGGGATAGTACCTAAAATGAGAAGAACATGTAAGCAATTTTATATTGACAAAAGAATAGAACCTTCTGAGATGCATTGTGAACAAAGAATACATTTTCCACAATAAACGTGTGTAAACATAAGAAAATTAGTAAAGAATATTGGTAAAATATGAGTAGGAAAACTGTTTTCCTACCAAAAATGCTGCAGCTAATAAAGTATTTAATTTTCTATAAATTTCTTGTATAATAACAATATAAAAATTGGTAAAACTATGAATTCGGAACTTAATTTCCACACCCAACTAGCTACCAGCTATTAAATCGAAACCTAATGTCTCTTGAGGCCTGGCCCAAGCTTCCTCTACAGGATTAACCCACATGGTTCACTCACCTGGGTGGCATTTTCTTCTTGGCCTCCACGTGGGCAGCGTACGAGGTGAGCGACGGCGACAGCGGCGGAGCAGTGGGTTCCGCATAACGAGCGAATGTGGAGGGCGGCGTGGGCTGCTGTTGCTGCTGCTGTGGGTCATTGGCCCCTGATGACGAGGTGGTGGCTCCATCGTCGTCCTCTTTGTCTTTGGCCTCCTTGACCTGGATGACGGTGACGTACTGCGACGTGGACTTGCGCAGCGGCTGCTTGGAGGAAGCGGACTCTTTGTCGGCATCGCCGCTGCCGCCTCCGCCACCTGCTGATTGTGCCACTGCTCCATTGTCTGGATTTGCCTTTATGGAGGCCGCCAGCTCCGTGATGCACTGCTGCAGGGCTCCGTTGGCATCCTTCTCGTTGCCGCTGTCCTTGTCTCGATCCTCCCGCTCGAAATTCAGCTCCGCTATCCGCTTGCCCGCCCCCGTGATTGGGGCAGAGTGAAGCGGACCCGTCCCCGCCCCCGCCCCAGTACCGCTGCCACTCCCACTGCCTGGGGCATTTGTGTGTGTCGTTGTGTACTTGTTGTCCGTGTTGAGCGACAGGCGATCCTTGTCCTTGCCGACGGACGTCGAAGTGGAGGACTCGCGCAGATTTAAACTGGATTTCTGTGAATAATATACAAGAAATGGTGTGGTCGGGTCAGTAAATCAATTCAAAGCAATCTGTAGAGCTGTTCAAATGTAACTCAATTAAGGCAAGTGCTTTTCAATGAAATTAAATCTAAAGAATACGTATTTGCTGTCTTACTGAAAACAAAAACTTACAATTTTTGCCAACAATAACTTCATAGAGTTTTTGCATGTTTCTCAGACGCCTTAAACATAATATATAAAACACCTAATACATATTTTTAGTTTAATAAATTAATTTAAGTTAATTGTTTCATTATAAAATGTTAAATCATTCAATCAAAATAGTTCACTATGAAAAATATATAAGTTTTATAAAAATGTATAGAGTGAGTTATCAATATATTTTAACGACCATCTTTTCATTTATTAATGTTTAATTTATTAAATATTAAGTTTTTCTTAAAATATAGGAATTGGAAATTTTGTAAATCCTAAATTTGCTCATTATAGGAATATATAAATAAATATGACTTCACCACATTTAGAAATATATATTCTAGGGTCAGCCAATGTTGTCAGCAACTGATTAAATATAAACAAGACAAAAGGTTATTAATAATGAATGAAGTGATTGCTTGGGTAAGTAAAATACTAACTTATTATAAATAAATAATATCTCTTTCAGTGGTAAAATTTCAAGGGTTTGCCCAGAGAGAGAGAGTTAAATTATGCAAAATCTACGCTATAAGTAAGCTTTATTAACATATGCAAAACAGAGCGGAGAAATCGGTAACAATTCTTTGATTGCAGAACAAAACGGGAGTAAACGAGAGACTCTGGCCGAATTCCCCGCACAAGTGTTAATTAACCGAGCTCTAATCCCAAAAGTAAATACCCACAAAAGGGCGCCAACGCCTCTGCAAACTATTTTTATATACACTTGGCTTTTATTTGATTTTATTTTTTTTTTCGTCGAGATTCCAAGCACGTAGCGCATTTCATTTCGTTTAATTTCATTCCGATTCGAGCCGTTTCTCTACTTTAAATGGCCAAAAACCGACAAACTTGGCTCGAACTCAAAACGCGTGCGTGCGTTTCTTCTTTTCTTTTCATGTCTCTCTTTTCTTTCCACACAATTTTTGAGGCTTTGAAAAAAGTGAAAACTACACCGGGTAAGTAGAAACAAACAAAAAAATGAAATAATAAAAAAAAAAATAAATAAATAAAGTGAGCAGCGGCCAGACGACGCGCTTATTACCAAAAAGTGGAAAATTGCCAACCGAAAATTGTCTGGGTAGCGGGATATCCAATTGGGTGGTGTCTAAAATGGATGGATAGGCTCTTTGGATGTGGATGTGGATGTGGATGTGGATGTGGATGTTGATGTAGATGTGGATGTGGATGTGACCAAGCGGAGCGATGAAGAAAGCGTGCCCAAGTGCGACTTAAAGCCCCGAAGGTCGATGGCTACTTGGCTATAGCTTCTGCACAGGGAGAACCAGTTAAAATCATATTTAGAATTCATCTTGGCCTGGTTTAAATATGCTTGAGTGTTTTAGAAATCCAATCATGTTTTTATCATTCATATATAATTATTTTTTTAAATAACAATTAACAAATAAAATAAAAATAACGCAGATCAATGCCCAATATTAAAACCAATCCTGCAAAAACTAAAAAAATCTTTTAAACGCTTATATAAGTGCATAAGATAATCAAAAGCAATACTAAAATAGCTGAGATTACAGAAACCCAATTTAATATTTAATAAAATTTTTTTCTGAGTGTTCTCGTTTTTTGTCTTTTCTCATATTTTCTGCATTGATAGAATTACTTAGCATATTGTTCAATTAACAGGCACTTGGGGTCATAGGCAGCTTATCAGAGCCGCATTTTCTCATGTTGAGTGATGACAGGTTAACCCCTTGCAGACACTTGTCCTCGAAATGGGACAGACATGCTTTAACGTCATGTGCAAAATTAAAAAAACCTCAAGAAATATGTGTGGACAAATCAATTAATCAATATTTTTTTACTGCTCACTTTAACTTATATTAAGTTTAAATTTATATATGTATAAACGTAAATGTAAATCAAAATATTTAAAAAATTTCAGTTATATACATCTTAAACCGTTTATTTAGTAAATTATAGCTTTTATAAATATTAAAATAAAATAAAAAATACATTGTCACCATATTTGGCTCGAACAATTAATAGTTTTACTAGCAGATAGAAAGTAAGTGCATGCAAATGAGTGTTAATTGAAGCAGCGCTCGTATTTATGACACAATCGTTATTTCCAAGTAGAAATTTATGATTCAAAGTATTAGGTGGAATTTCGGAGACAATTTGCTGCGAGCAATTATGATCTTTAGATATATTAATTTTTAGATTTGTAATTTTATCTAAAATTTGTGAGACTATTTATTGTGATCTTTGGATTCTTCGAGCCTTTGTTTTTATTACTTTAGTGATGATAAAGACTTTATTTGCCACTCGGTCATCAGATGACTATTGATACAATTTTGAAATTCAGAACAGCTGTTTTCCCTTTTTATGTTTGCTAGCCAACTGCAAAATTGGAAAGTCGTACGGGTTTTTTTTTTAATCGCAATCTTCTGGCCAAAAGTCGCCCGCATGTAAGTACAAGTACCCGTTTCTTTTCTCGCCCCCCATTTCTCTGCCCGTGCGCCTTATTGATATGGATTGCAGCTTATCAGTAGACACATTGTGCGTCGCTTACGCCTTTTTAACCGCCCCACGCTCTTTTTCTTCTGCCTTTTTACAGCAAAGATCAAAACAATAGCAAATATCAAGGAGGAACAATTTATATCAATATAGTAGATGATAAAGATAAAAGATAAAAAATAAACTTAGCGCATTGGACTTTTAATCTTTTAACAGCTAATTAACAAGATTTAATGATATTATTTTTTCCCAAACTGTATTTGTGTAAAACCTCAATAAACCTTTAATTTATTGTATAAGATCTAAGCACTTATCACTTATCTTTGGATTACTAATCATACTGGATTATAATTTCATTCATAAGGCATTGTTTTTGTTTTTCTGTAAAGTGACACTGCTATTATTTTAACCTTAACTGTTGTCTTATGTATGCTTGTATGTATTTTTCCCAAGTGCTTTGCCTTAACGCTATTTTTTTTAGCCGCTATTGCTTAATTTCTTGGCTACACGAATATATATACAAATATATAAATGTATATAGATATAGGTGGCCCAAGATATAGACATGGTGTCTATGTGTGTGCGCTTTGTTATATGACATTTTGCGATAAGTTTTTATTGATTTCGACTTGTGATAATACAGCAACAATTGTTGCGCCTCTCGGATGTTCGTTGTTTTTTTTTCCCATTACGAATTTATTTATATTTTGTATGTATGGTATTTGGGGGTTGAGTTTTAAGTTTGGAGTTTTAGGTTCTTAACCGATTACGCACCCCTCTGGACCATAATTTGAATTTCTCTTTAAAGGAAGCCATGCTCCCTAACCAGCGCCACTTTGTTGTGTTATTTTCCTTATTTTCTCTTTGTTTTTGCTTAAAAAATAAAGAATATTTCCAAGGGAGTGTACCCTCCTATATGTAATCTCGGGGGTAGAAAATAAAGGGAGAAACGACGATTTAGTGACGATGACTAGGCGACCACGAAACTTGAGTCAACCGAAAACACGTTAACAGACACACACTCGCGCGAAAACGGAAGACGGAGCTCTACGAATGCGAAAAAAAAAATTAATAATATTTTTACGTAAGTTTTTGTTATTGTTTGCCCTACGGGTTTTTTTTATTTTTCTTTTTTTTTTTGTATTGCAGGTGTTTAATTGGGCTTTTGTTCTGGCAGTTTTCTCGTTTCTGCTCTCTGTTGTAAACAACTCACAATTGGGAGGGAATATATCAAAATTTATACTTTTATTCTAGAGTTAAATTTATATTGGCGACCCGTTTCCGTCCGTTTGTCCCGTCACTGTTATTCACCCAAAACTATACTGGCGACTCAATATATGACAATATATGCAGCGACGCCAGCAGCAGCGCGAAAAACCTAAAGAAAATAATACCCACACATGCTGACAAACTCGCGTTCAGTATAAAAAATACAAAAACCCGGTGGTGTGGGTAGATAAGGGTACGCGATGCGAGATATCAAAACGAGTGGTATAAGTGGTATAGCCCATGGACATATGCACACACCAACAGTCCAACTTCCATAGCCCGAACTTCTCCAAAAGCCAGGAAGAATATTAATAAGTTGTAAAATGCTTTTCGAATAAAAACGGCCGGATTCGTATCCTCTTTATGCTCTTCCTTTATATATTATAAGCAAACGTTTCTTCCAAGGCAATATTTAAAAAAAGAAAAAAATAGGTACATTTTTACTATTGCTGGAAGAGTTTGCTCTTGCGGAAGTTTGACTGTACTGTAGGGACGCAGCATAGCAACTGTTGCATATGATCCAGCTTTCACTTTATAACTCCGATATCAAGCTTAAAAGGTAGAACTAGAATTGCTTCAAAACTTTAAAAACTTAGGAATATTTTTGAATTCAAGTCAAAATCTATTTGAACCATTTTTAACGTAAAATTATCTTCGTTAAACTTGGAAGGTGTTTTAACATTTAAGTTCTTAAAAGTATTAATAAAAACAAATATATTTGCAATTATTTTAAAAAGTGCAAATTTATGCATATGTTTAGCTAAATGTTTTTATATTTATCTTTATTATTTTTTTAACACATCTCTATTTTAATGTATTTATTTTCTAAAAAATTCGTTAAGAATGTGAACTAGTTCCATAACTTTACACTATCGATAAGTTTCCATGCTCCCCTCTATAAATTTGTACATTGGCTACGCTGCCCTCCGATTTTCTCTTCTTTCCACTTGATACTGATAAGCAGGCAATGACATTTGCAAAAGAAATCGACGCAGAAGAAAGAAACCCACTTCATAAAGCTGAGCGCCTGGTAGTAATGCTCCAGCCCTTCCCGATCGAAAAGGAGTTTCTATATAGATAAACCAACAACGTAATGGAAATTTCATCATCCAGGAATTTTAAATTTGTATCATATATATATATATATAGAAAACAAAATTATTAAAATCTTATGAATATAAATATTTATAAATATGTCTGAATGTTTATAAAACAATATGCAAAAATACTTAGATGATAATCAAAATAAGAAGTTTTAATTTGAATAGAATACCCATAAAATGGAGCAATTATGAAGGATAAGCATAGTAAATTTATTAAAGATTTTGTTCCATAGTTAACTTCTTTATTATTAATTTAAAAAAGAAGAACACGAGATTAAATATATAAATTTCCCTTTGATGATGCAATTAAGTAGTCTTAATTTAAGGTATGTATGTCTTAACTTGACCAGACAAACAACAACAAATACTCACAAACTCTTTATCCACGTTTGGTGTGCTTCCTCCTGGTGGAGCTCCATTGGTGTTGCTGCTTCCGTTGTTGGTGGAGCCACTGCTTCCGCTGGCCGCCTCAAAAAGTGCCGTGGGATCCCCGCCAGAAGCGCGATACTTATCCACATCGGACAGCAGTCGCTCCAGATACTCCACGTACAGGGTCTCCTGCTCGAGCTCCTTGCTCAGCTCCAGGATGCGCAGCTTGTGCCGCTCGAGACTGGCCCGCACATCCTGTTCCCAGGCGTCGGATAGAGAGCTCTGCGGGAATCGCTGCATCCACAGGCGCTGGAAATCGTCGAAGACGCTCATGGTGGACAGCAGCTCCTCCTTTGGGTGCTCCTCCTCCTCCTCCTCCTTCAGGTGGTCCACCTCCTTCAGGCGCTCCTCTATCGAATTTCTTGCCTTTTCACACTTTTATTCCTCACTCCAACGATGCAAAGATGCAGTTGATGATGTTATATTAATGATGATTCTTCGGGATGATGACGAAGAGAGGGCGAGGTTGCCTTTTATGTAACAACGAGCACCAGTTGTGCGTTGTCGCCTTCACCGCCTGCAAGAACGTGTGTGAGCTTCGTATCTGTATCTGTATATGTCTTCTTTTTTTTTCGTTTTTGTCTCGTGTGCGTCACAGTTGAAGACTTGAAATCTTGAACATCCTTGCGTGTGGGCAGCCACACAGCCAAAAACAACAACAACAACAAGAGCACCTCGTTGAGGAGTGCGTTTCGAGTGGCCTTTGTCTTCCAGGGATGCTGGTAACCACTAACTAGAGGTTTAGAACCTATATATTATAGGTATATCGTCTAGGCTTAAAAATTAAAATAAATAAAAAAAAGTTGAGCACGAAGGCTTGGTTCTCAGTTTTCATGAAACAATAGCTAATAAACAACTAAACAAATTTTTAAAAAACAAAAAGAATATCCCCAGCATCTGATAGAAAAGTACATTTTTAATACAATTTTAATAAAGCTAAAAAATTGCCAACGAAATATTTTTGGTTTTATTTCCAATTTGACAGATTCGGATGAGAGTTAGATATAAACTATTTTTTAATTTTATAAATAGATTGCATGATTCAGTATGTCATTATTTTTTAATTGCCTAAGTAGTACCTTTTTTTTATTGTAAAACCCCTGCTCATTACGTACATATGTAGCTATAAAGCGTTATCAGTTGAAATGTTTACATAATAAATCTTGTAATGTTTATCTCTTTGCGATTGCAATACTTTTTAACCCTCGGAAGGACATAAGTACATTAAGTTAAATTAAATGTTGGTTTTGTTAATAAGAAAAGTCAAGGAAGCTGGAGAAAGTTTGTAAGGAACAATAGAGGCATTAACTACATAAATTAAAATAAACTGACAAAGTTGCAAGTCAAAAATTAACTTTAGATTGCCCTTTCCAATTAGATTCGACGAAAGCAGCAAAATACAATGTTCCAACTCGGCTTCCAACTCAAAAGATGCGGTATAGGAATTGTTCCAAATTGGTTTTTGAATTCAAAACAAGCGGTTAAATAACCGGTTGCACATGCACTTGTATTTGTGGTTGTTGTCGTTTTTTGTTGTTGTTTTTCCAGTTGCAGATGCTCTTGTTGTTGTGCTGTTGCCCTTTTAAATTTTGTTTGCATGAGTGTGCGTGTGTTTTGATGATGCCTTGCAACTTTGTTGTTTTCTTTTAGTTTTTGCCTTTTAGTCAAGGCCAAAATTGTTTTTTTTGGTCTCTCGTTTTTGCACGATTTTTTTTTTTTTTTTTAGTTTTTGGAGGCGCAGACGCAATGAATTTTCTTTGATATTTTCTCGTTTTTCGGTTTTATCAAAACAACAAAAGCATTGCCAACGCACACAAAGGGCGACACACACACAGAGAGAGAAAAAGAAAGAGATTCCTTTAAAAATTGTTGTTGTCAGTTTTTGTGCTTTTTCTCTCCCACTTCTCCTCCTTCCACTTGTTTGTCCTCATTTTCTTCTCTTTTTTTAGAGACTCAAAATCAGTGGGCGTTGCAGCTTCAAAAAATTAAATATAAAAGACACTCCACTCAAAAAAAATGTTTTTTCTAAAACAACAACACACACTTGCACAGTTATCCTTATGCTATCTTGTACCGTTTGCCATTCCAATTAGATTTCGCTTAGAAAAAATCTACATATATTTTTGTTCACATACAAATATATACACTCTTTGGCAAACACACGAACACATTTGCATATGTGCAGCGTTAGCGCGTTGCACTGGTGTGTGTGAAAACTCGGCTTTGGTTTTTCGGTTTTTAATACGTGTTACTTTGCCCACTCACGTTTCATTTTCCGCCCCGATTTCCATTGAGCGATGCCTATTTCCACGATTCACTTTTATTAAATTAAACATAACATATATACACATATATCCGATCCGATCCCAGCCGATTTGACAAAAAAAACGAAACGATTAGAGGTGGGGACAGATCGATGCTTTCGCCATGAATGTTTGGCAGGGCATTATCGCTGTTCTTCCATCTCTAATTGCGGAGTATGCCTTGGCTAATTAATTATCGATAAATATGTCTCCGCTAAGGCGGTTGGCGGTTATTTATTTTGTTTTAAATGCCAATTTAAAAAGTAAACCAAACAAAGTTGATTGAAAAATGCTTTTATATTAAAGCCATATTTATTGGTCAAGTACAAGGTTAAAGTCCAGCAGACTTGTTTTCTTATCTGGCCCTGTTATTACTTATTGATATTAATTAATTCTTCTGTATGGCCCTCTATTTTTAGCTCAAAAATAACATTCCAGATTGACCTTAAATCGGCTTATCGCCACCTGCCAGATTACTTAATACGATATATATAATTAAGGCGCTAGTTCTGATTTCGGTTCTTTGGTTTTTGCCGGCCTCTTAGTCAGCCCAAACTTTCTATTTCTGACGTAGCACGGATTTGGATATGGATTTCAAAATGGGTTCTTGTCTTATCGTCAGTTAAAACGCAGATAACTGTATGGATATATAAGGCGTCCGTTGCCGTCCAATGGCCATTTAATTAATTCCGCCGACGGCGTATTTGCCTACATTATTTTTTACTTGCTCCAATTTAATTTAAGTTCGTAGTCTTAAGGATACACACACAAAATGTCGTAAGTACTTGGTTAAAAAATTATTAACCACTTTAAAAAAAAAGTGACAAATACGAATGATTTTTATTTTAAAGTAACAAAAATGTGTAGCAGTATAAAACTCAATCATTATTTTTGATTTGTATTTTTTTGATCATAAATATTGTAAATGAAAAAATAATCATTACTTTATCATATATTAAATAGTATTTTTTTTTAAATGTTTTATAATACCTGTTCCTGACATATATACAATTACCATACAAATTCCAAAGTCGATCGCAGCACCCTTTGGTAGCTGAGTCTGGAATTCGGCAGAGACCGATATACCATGTTTTATGGGGAGCTGTTCGACGCCTTCTGTGACCTTTTTATCGGGTACGGTGACCCATTAGATGGAAAGTGTCCCGCCCCCTAAGATCGCACTTACCAAAAAGGATAAAAAAGGATGTGTCAGTCTAGACGGGATACTAATACCCTCCGTAACTCTTTTTTTCCCCCAGGTGCTGCAAGAAGTATGCCGTCTGCTGGATCATCCTGGTGGTGGCCGCCGTGGGCGTGACCTTGGGCCTGGTCTTCGGACTGCGGGGCAAGGCGGAGGAGCCGCGTCGCATGGGCGCCGTGGCCTCCAACGGGGTGGGCTGTGCCGAGGTGGGTGGCACCATGCTAGACATCGGCGGATCTGCGGCGGATGCCGCAATAGCCACTATGCTCTGCGAGGGCGTCATGCTGCCACACAGCTTGGGCGTGGGCGGTGGTTTTGTGGCCACCATTTACTCCAAGGAGACGGCCTTTGTGGAGACCCTGATTGCCCGGGAAACCGCTCCGGCCGCCGCCACACAGGACATGTTCGTGGACAAGGACATCACGGGCGCCTTGTCCGTCGCCGTGCCCAGCGAAATTTATGGCTACTCCAAGCTGCACCACAAGTACGGCCGGCTGCCCTGGAAGACCCTCTTCCAGCCTACCATCGATCTCTGCCGCCACGGCATCCTGGTCTCCAGATATCTGGCGGGAGTCCTCCAGCGCGAGGAGCAGCGCATCAGGAGCGAGCCCTCTATGGCCGAGATCTTCATAAATCCGAAAACGGATGCGGTCTACAAGCAGGGCGAAATCATGTACCGGCACACTTTGGCCGAAACCCTGGAAATCATCGCCGATGAGGGTGCTCAGGTCATCTATGGCGGCGGCAGGGTGGGCAGGAAACTGGTCGAGGACATCCAGGCAATGGGCGGCATCATTACCGAGGAGGATCTGCAGAAATACGAGTGAGTATAGCGGGCCTAAGCCCTATGAATTGTACATATGGTCCTTCAAGCCAGATCTGCCAAACTATGAGTAAACTACTTTCTTACATAAAAGATACGATTTTGAAGGACTACTTCAGTGTTTGCTCAAAAACCTTTAATTACAATTTATCCTATTAAAGCTTAGGTCACTAAAGGTCTTTAAAATCAATTAATATTCGATTACCACACTCAAAAGATTACATTTTAAAGTCCATGGTTATTTCAAAACTCTTCGTTTACATGAAATTATATGTTTTATCCAAAACTTAAAGGGTAGACCTTTCCATAACACTAACAATTGTTATAAGATATCAGCGTGACTCATTTTTAAACCATACATTCGCAGTGTTCGCTAAGAAATCTTAAATTACACATTGTTTTTGTTATACAAAATATAGCATAATAAATAATAATTTAAAGTTCATGTTCTTTTGAAAATTTTTACATTATATTATATAAGGAAGACCTTTCCAATTATTTGTTAGATTTCAGAATGAAACCTATCTGTCGATCGACATTCATTTTAAAACTCTACATTTGCAGTGTTCGCTGGGAGCTGCCGCTGGTCGCCCGCTTCAATGGTGGTTACAAGCTGTTCACCTCGCCACTGCCCACCAGTGGAGCCGTGCTAACCTTCATCCTGAACGTGATGGAGCCGCTGTACACGAGCAATACGGACAAGTACTGGCAGCGACTGATCGAAACCTTCAAGCACGCCTACGGCCATCGCACCAATTTGGGCGACATTCACTTCGAGGCGAATGTGCAGGAGGTCTACGAGAACCTCATCGATCCGGCCTTCGCGGCGGAGATCCGTGAGCTGATCCTGGACGACCGGACGTTCCAGGATTATGCCTACTATGGGGCCAACTTTGCCAACGAAGAGGATCACGGAACAGCGCACATTTCCGTTCTGGCGCCGAACGGGGATGCCATTTCGGTGACGAGCACAATCAACAGTCATTTGGGGGCCAAGGTGCGATCCCGCCAGACAGGTTTCATCCTGAACGACGAGATGGATGACTTCAGTACGCCCGGTAAGATAAATACCTATGGCATTCCCGCCAGTCCGGCGAACTTCATCAAGCCGGGCAAACGGCCCATGTCATCCACTTGTCCCAGCATCGTTTTGGATGCCCATGATAATGTCAAGCTGATTGTGGGTGGAGCTGGGGGCTCCAAGATCACCACCTCGGTGGCGCAGACCATTCTACGGTACTTTATGCTCCACGAGCCCATTGAGAAGGCGGTGAATTCCGGCCGGTTGCATCACCAACTGGCGCCCATGCAAATCGACATGGAACCGGATGTGCCACGGCATACGGTTGCCTATCTGCATGCCATCGGTCACAGCATCAATTTCCTGGAGGACGACAAGGCCTACTCCGCCCAGACGGCCATCGGGATGATGGGCAGCGAACCGCATCCCGTCTGCGATCGGAGAAGAGTGGGAAGCGCTGTGGTCGTGGAGCCAGATCGATTGGATTAGATACGGCGCCGGGGTGCTCATCTCATCCAAGCCCTGGAAACCCACGACTTGGGAAACTTTTTTGTGGAGCCTTTTGTTCGATTATAAGCCACTGAAGTTCGTTCTATACTATATGAATTCATTAGTAAATCGTTTGTGTTTTAAATCATTAAAATGTATTATTTAAAGAAATTTCGGAGGAATCAAATGATGGAACGAATTAATTGCAAAGAGAAACATACGGTTTATGCATTCAAAAAAATTCAACTAAATTAACCAATTTATTTAACACAATTCTCATTAACATAATGCAATATGGTACATTGAAATTTGTTTTGTCTTTTATTAATTCATTTGAGAAAATGATTTTTGTTTTAAGAAATTTCAGAGAAACGAAAAATAACAAAATTAAATGAGAATAATATTTGTTTTATGGTTTATAAACTTAAGTTTATATAACAAATTACATTAACACAATTTTCATTAACATAATACAATATCAATCCATACAGTCCCTGAGAAGAGATCTGTATCATTAAAAAAAAATAAACAAAATCAGGTGTAAAAATGTATTTAAATTCAATTAAAATAGGTTAATTAAGCAACCAATCAAACGATATCGCCATGGATGACTCAGTTTCCGGTTTAGTAATTCCAAATTATAAACATCAGACAGGTCTTGGATTGGTACTATAAATATTTATTTGGGCCTATCTAAAGTACTTTGCATTGGTGTAAAGCCAAAAATAGAAGAAAACACCAGACCAGTGTATGCAAAAAGGTTTATAAATTTAAGAAATACAAATTTCGCGGAAAAATACCCCCTACAAGGCAACAACACACTTTAATTTTGGAAGGTTTTAAAGCCAAAGGGTCATTAAAGCACTCAACAAATCATGGAATTCGATTTACATTCTTATTTAAAGCGAAAACTTCAGGTATTGGGAATAGGAATTCGATTTCTTTTCTTATTTCAAATGAAAACTTCTGGTTTAAAATCGATTTGAATTCTGAAATCTTCAGACGGAAAACCGAAAGTGAAATATATGTATTGCATTTTCGAGGGTATTATTGTTAAATAGCTATCGGCAAGCCGAAGTTAGTTTTAAAGTTGCGTGTTTTTGATTTCAAAAATAGACGATTATCTATATATATATATATGTATATATATATATATATATATATATATATGCGCACCTACCTACTATGTGTGTGTGTTTTTTTTTTGTGTCTGTTGGGTATGCATTTACTAAACTAATTAGTTAAACAATAACTGGCCGATTGATTAACTTAATAGGCACAGCTCCTGGATTCAGCATCGCTTGAACTTGAACTCCGGAAAACATCCTCCATATACAACAACACAATGGGATTGAATGCCCCCGTTCAAGCTTGCATTACGGATATTTGAGATTAGTCATCGTCGTCATCGTCGATGCGTTTGCTTCGTTTTTTGGCCATTTTCTGTTTCTTGTGCGCAGCCTCCATGCGCATGTCCTCCAGATCCTCTTGCAGACCTGCGTGGAATCCAGGAATTAGCTTGGTTTTCGGGATGCGGGCTTCTACTTCTAGGGTCACAAAACTCACCCAGCTTCTTGCTGATGAACTCCTCCCGCTGCATCTGCGCAAAACTGGACTCCATCCCCCGATCATCGTCGTCCATGCCTCGATACCGCCGCTTATCATAGCCAAAGATGTCGCGGATGTGCGAGGATATGTCCTCCTCGCAGTCGCCATCGTCAATGAAGTCATCCAACTCGGAATCGTACTCATCCTCGTCGTCGTCGTCGTAAATGCGTCCTACAAGGGTTTGCAATTTAAGATCTAAGTTACAATTTCGAAGTGTTACCCCTTTACTTACTTTTATTGCCTGGCTGTTCTTGGGGTTTCCGCCTCTTGACATCGGCCGGCGGGAATTGCCTGCCGCCCGATGATGATGATCTCTGGACATCCGCTGGCGGAAACTGTCGCGTTTTGCCCATGGCCGGCGAAGGAGGTGGGCGATCTCTAGCCGCAGGAGCGGAACGATCCCTGGACGGGGGGATTGCAGGCCGATCCCGGGGCGGGAACTCCCGCACGGCTCCGTTTTTGATGGCCGCCGCATAGGGATTCTTGGAGGGGGCATCCCTACCAGAACTGGAGCTGGGTTTCCCCGCCGCTGTAGTTGATCCTGGCTTGGCCACCGTGGGAGCTGTCTTACTGGCGGGCTTTATACTTGAGGCATGACTACGGCTAGTTGAGGAATGGGCATTGGAACTGGAGGAGGAGCCAGAGGTGCCAGAGGAGCCGGAGGAGCTTGAGATGGTCTTTGCTGGCGGTGTAGCTGGCTTTTTGAAGCTTTCACTTGATGGATTCGCTGGCCTGGATTGGTTGAGCTTGGGTATGCGTCCATTGGGCTCCATGCGATTGGTGGTGGATGCTTTGGATGCTGAAGCCTCCTTGCCGTCGCTTTCCCGCATCTTGTCGCGATGGGCGCGCTGCTCCTTCTGCCGCTGGCGCTCCTCCATTTCGCGTTTCTCCCGGGCGGAGAGCAGGCGCTCCGGTTCTTTCTTCTTCTCGGGCTCAAAGACCACCGGTTCGTGCTGCTTCTTCTCGGCCAAGCGGAGGAGTGCCTGGAAGTCCATGGGTGGCGGCTGGGCAGGTCGCTTCATTTTGGCCCGGCGCTGCTCCTCCTCCTGCCGCTTCTTGCGCTCCTCCTCGCGCTTCTCGGCCTCCGGATCGTAGAGGCTTCTGGACGTGCTATAGGAACGGGCCACATGGGCTTCCCTCGACTTGGAGGCGCTGGACGAGGAGGAGGGCGTACTGCTGCTACTGGTGGTGCTGCTCCTCTGGCGGGTGTGACTCTTGGCCTCCTCCCTTTCCCGGGTAATGGCCGCCTTGACGCGCTCCTTGGTGCCGGAAAGATCGCGCAGGGATTGCGGCCTGCTCGGAGCAAATCCCTTGTCCTCCTGCACATCGCGCACCTTCTCAATGTACTTCTCGTAGAAGGCGTTCGCCTCGTTGGACACATAGCCGTAGTCATCGCCCTGACCCTCGTCCGCCTCGTGGCCATTGGCTGCTCCTTCGCATTGCTTGGCATCTTCCAGCACGGACTTGTTCGCCGACTTGGTCACCTTGAGCATTTTGCGGATCTTATTCTTGGACTTCTCATCACGTTTGGCCATCAGCTCGTTGAGTTTCTGGCGCTCCTCACGCTTCCGTTCTGCCTCCTCTGCCTCCTTTTTGCGTAGGAACTTTTGGATGTTGTTGGACAGCTGCTTGGACTCCTTGGACTCCTTTTTGGGTGGCGCATACTTGGTGCTGTAGTATTTGCCCTGTCCGGGGCGCTAAAAGGGCAAACAAGATGTAGTTGGAATCTTCTGCTGATCTTGTGGAGAAATTCAATCTGGTTTTTTGGGGTCAGTGAACGAAAGCGCATGCAAACGCATATGCTGGCGGTTCCATGCGTTCGCCCACTTGCGGGACACCTGTTCACCAGGATACCCACCTCGTCCTTGGTGGCCGCATCGTTCTTCTTCTTCGCGTAGTGCAGCAGCGCCCCGAAATCCATTTTACACGATCCGAACCCGATTCTAATACAAAATGATATAAATTATAGAGATGTGCGCGTGACTGACTTCATTGACACGCGCTGGCCGATATGTCACTTGGTCTCGAACAATGTCAAATTTATCTCAGCCTATTTTATTACAACATTTTTAGATTTTCAATTTTAAAACTGTCAAAAAAACATAAATAGAATAAATAATAGATAGAAAAAATAAATAAGAAACAGAACGTAAACATAGTCAACAGGTCAACCACCTTTGTTTATGTTTTCATGAGCCACAGCTGTTCAGATCAGCTGAAATCGGATGGTGGATATAGGAGTTTAACTTTCTTCAAAAATCGGCTAACTATCGCATAAATTAGTCCGTCAAAGTCCGACAAATATTAACGACGGACTAACTGGGACATTTTTGGAAGGTGAATGGATCTCTGTGAAGTGGGGCTATAATATTTCCTTATGTATCAATAAATTCGGAAAAGTGTATAGTTGCGATATCAATATAAATATAGACTCAAAACATTAATATACTAATTTTGTCAATTTTCCTTCCACTAAATGAGTTGCAGTCAAACAAAAAAAAAAAAAAGAAATTACAATAGGGTAATAGTACAAACAATTGATACTGTATATAATACAAGGAAATTACAATAGGGTAATGGTACAAACAATTAATACTGTATACAAAAATAAAGGTCCATCTCTAATCAACGTACCATCGCCAACGAACGGGCCATCTCTAGCTAAAATTTCATATTATTTAAAAAACGCTTAAAATCTGAATAAAGGCTTCCCGATCGGCTGACGGATAAGGATTTGCCATGTCCACCGATCCCGACCAAATGGCTGGCGAGAGTAGCCAGTGCGCCGATTCCGATGCCCAGGAGTCCGCGAACAAGGAGTCTTCCGCTGACGAGGGCCACCCAGTTGATCCTGTGGCCCATCCCCCAAATCCTTTCGCTTCCCCCTGCTCCCGCGAAAAGCCAAAGGAGTCCACGGACACGGACATGGACATAGACAATGATCTGACCACCGACGAGCGGATGCCCACGGTGGACGAACTGGAGCAGCCGAAGCAGCCAAAACCGAAGCCACCAGAGGTGAAAAATGAGCAGGAGCCGGAACAGGAGGCGGATCAGGAGCAGAAGCCAGTAGAACCATTGCCCATCCAACCGCCCAGTCCACCGGTGTCGGCGACCATTAAAATCGAAGAGGAGGACAAGCCATTAAAGCTACCATCAACACAAATCCAAGAGGAAATCGCACCCAGTTCGCCGGAGGCACCGCCAAATCCCATCCAGCAGCGTCCGGCGGGCAAGATTACTCGCAGCAGCCTGAATGGCAGTCAGGGGGGCAGCCAGGTGACCACCACCAACCGAACGCCAACCATTATGAAGCGTCTGCGGAAGAGCACACGCTTCAAGGCCAAGCAAACGGGCAAGGGAAATCCCGGGGGCAGCAATAGCCAGTCGAATGGCCACAACAACGGGCCGAATGGTTCCACCGGTAGCTCCACACATCTCGCCAGTGCCGGCGCCCATCCCAGCAACACCAACAAACATGGCAAATCCGGGCCAGCTGGTCCGGGCGGAATCACCGGAGCCCGGAATCGTCGCTCGCTGTTCAAGAGGCCAGCGCAGAAGACGCCAAAGGTGCAGGCCAGCACCAAATATGTGGAGAGTTTGTTCTACAAAGGCAGCTACATGCAAATCGGGGACATCGTCAGCATTGTGGATGAGGATCAGAATCTGTTCTATGCCCAAATACGCGGACTGCTCGTGGACGCCTATTGCGAGAAGTCCGCCTTCCTCACCTGGCTGATTCCAACGCAGGATAGCCCGGATCCCCAGGAGGGATTCGATCCGGCCACCTACCTAATTGGTTTGTATATAGTGTTCCACTAAAGGAAAATGCCTTTAGCAATTGGTTTTGCCCTACAAGTCTAATATTTATACTTTATTTTAAAACACAGTTTGATATACACTCTTCATTTGTAACCTTAGTTATCCTAAGCTTATTAATCCGTATTCTTATTCCGCAGGACCCGATGAGGAGCTATCCAGAAAGCTCTCCTATCTGGAGTTCGTGATGCACGCGCCCAGCAATTACTACTTCGATCGGAGCACACCATTTCCCCTGCCGGATGTGGACGAGTATACCGCGCAGAGATCGGGCGGATATATCTGGACGCGACTGCCGGTGGTGAAGCGGGAAAAGGGGAGCGGACACAAAACGGGTGGGCCCTCCTAGCAGGAAAGGCGGCCAAAGCCCAAGAGCAACCAGAAGAAAAAGGCCAAAACCAGAGTCCTGAACTTGAATAATCTAATTTATTGAGTGGAAAAAATATAAAAATGTGTCTGAAGAAAATAAATGTTTCATTTTAATATTTGTATCGTATTAAGGCACTCACTCCACGATTTTAATACTCGCAAATCAGCTCGGTTTGATGACCATTCTATAAGGAATCTTAGTTCTATAAAAAAACATCCATAAAATTTGTAATGTAACATATTTGCTCCTATTAAATAGGCAATTTTGTCGTCGTCTATCCAAAAGTGAACATTCTAATTGGCCAATTACTATGGATATTATAGATTAAGGAAAAACTTTTGCATTTATTAGATACGTATTAATAAAATTTGAAAACTGTATGTGCATAAAAATAAAAGGCATTTTTTTAAACAAAAACAGATTTATAATTGGAAAAGTGGAATCTTTACATAAGGGGTGGTCAAAAGCAAAAATAAATAAATACATTTTCCAAATGTTTTCCTAGTAAAAGCTTTAAAAAGTATGTTAGAACAAATGCTTTCCTTTATTACAACGATTCAACATTTTTAATATTGTCATACAAATATGTCAAATATTCAATTGATTAAAACTTTTAATTTAAGAGATATTACTAGTATACGTATTCAGCTATTCTCCGGTGTTTCCTTTTCCTTAAGTATATTTAATTTATTTAAAGATAGTCAAAATGGCATCCTTGTGAAGGCTTTTAAAGTTAAAATCTAATAAATATTAATATATAAATTTAAAGTTAAACAAAATCGCATTCAAAAAATAAAAAAAATGAGGTATTTAATTAGTCAGAAACTTAAATGATAACTACTATTACTATCCAGCTACCCTCCAGTGGTGCCTTGTAGATAAATGTCCATAGATTCCTTATTGAGGATCGTCGTGGGTCGTCTTCTCGGAATGGGCTGAATGTGGGGCAATCGTGTGCCGTTTATTGCGTTCATACTTAAATTGGAATTGGGATCGTCGTCGTCGTTTATGTATTGTGATGTGGACTGCGGAACTGCTGCATTTCGAACAGAGGAGTTCCTGTTTTCGGTGGGCAGTGGTGCACTTCTTATTGCATTCAGTGATCCATCGGCGGAACTTTTATTATTATTATTTGTAGTTAGTACCCTGGAGAAGAAGGTCGTGGTCCCCTGGGAACTTTGACTGCCACTCGCATCCGTAACACTCTCCGCCATCCTTCGCTCTTGGTGCTTTTTGGCATTATTGTTCTTCGTATTATACAAGTTCACCAGATTTTTATAGCAACTGAGGCATAATGGAGCATCTTCCAGAATCCCGGGGTTGATTTTTTTGGCGAATTTGAACAAATACGGATTGGTAATTTTTGTGTGTGGGCTGCGCAGTTTGTGGTTTATCGATATACCGCAAAAACGACGTTCCACATGGTCCGTTTCCTCTGTCATCTGTAATTTAGTTACTACTATTTATTATTTTACCATTATTTAGATTACAAATTGTACGTACTTTGTGTTTTTCTTGGCAAATTGGCAAGCAAATTTTAGCGCCTTTTTAATCTTTTCTAGAGGTGGACAATAAGCAATGCTAGAGCTGCGAAAATATCGATTTCATCATCGATATTATCAATTCGTTGAGTTTTGGTAAAACATTGAAGACATTTTGAAATTTCTTTCAAGTTCTTTCAAATTCTGATAATATTTAGTATATTTTTTTTCGAATTCCAATCATAACATTTTTACAATGAATTAAAGTGTTTTTTTATATTTTGTTGTACTACGTACTACTAAGTATCGATAAATATATCGATAGAATAAGAGGCACCGACTGCCTACGGCCACACCGACACCATTGCCGAGTCGATAGGTTTTCCAGCAAAAAAAAAACGCGAATTAATTGCAATAACTTGCAGATAGCATAGTTTAATTTTCGCCAGGACCAAATCACATAAATCCAGACGCGATGGAGGTGGACGAGGAAGAATTCGAGGTGCCTTCGAGCAGCAGCAAGGGCGAAAAGAAGCGTTTCGAGGTGAAAAAGGTAAGTGTGGTCAGCAAAAAAAAGGTTTGCTCATTGCCATTGTAAAATGATTTACTATTTTTTCCCCTCACTAACAAAAACAAAAAAAAAAATAAAACAACAGTGGAATGCCGTGGCTTTGTGGGCTTGGGGTAAGTAATACAATAGAATAGACAACTATGGATAGGGGACTTACCATTTTCCCATTCGCATCCAATTGCCGCAGACATCGTGGTGGACAATTGCGCCATTTGCCGCAACCACATCATGGACCTGTGCATCGAGTGCCAGGCGAATCAGGCATCCGCAACCAGCGAGGAGTGCACCGTGGCCTGGGGCGTCTGCAACCACGCCTTCCACTTCCACTGCATCTCGCGGTGGCTGAAAACCCGACAGGTCTGTCCGCTGGACAACCGCGAGTGGGACTTCCAGAAGTACGGCCACTAAAACCAGCTGGAGCAGCACTAAGAATCCCTCTGATCGCACAGAATCATAGAAATAGCATCATCCCCTGCTCCCTGCGGACATTTAAAGCTATGTAAAACCTTCTTAGATCTTAAGCGAATGTGTTGGGCGGTCTGTGAGGATTGGCAACCTCCAAGCATTGGAGTTATCAGTACCGCTGGCTTTCCCCGACAAACAACAATTTTTGTAACGCTAAAAATAAAAGCTGTAGAAGATGGAGAACAACACAACGACCATAACTTGCAGTAAATGACAACTGGCTTCTAACCAATTTCATTAAAAAAAGGAATAAGGAAATGCGGAGAATATCCGTTTTTTCATTTCTAAAAAAGAGTATTTTTAGAACAAAGGGAAATCTTTGGCTTTTTTAGGAAATTTCCAAAAGAATCAGCTTTAACAATATTCAAAAATGGTAATCAAATTGTTCCCCAAAAGAAATGATTTCAAAGGAAGTTTAAATAAGGCAGAAGACAAAAGAAAATTTGTTTTTTCACCAGGACTTTGTTTAAAATATATTTATGTGAAAGAGACAAAAACAGAAATCCTTTGTTCAACGTGCTCATATGGCAATTATTACGTGGAAATGAAAAAAAAAATAAAAACAAAAAACAATAGTCGATAGGAAGAAAAAACCATGCATTTGTAAAAACTAAATGTTCTTTTTAGTTTATTATGAATGTTTTGCGGCCGCGGCTGCTGTAAATTGTTGTTGGTGGCTTACAAAATAATACACAGTAGTTACACATATGAATAAAGTATATAATATATATCGAATATGATTAAGATTTAATTACATATGCTAGCAACTAAACTTATAGGTAAACAAAAAATAATCGTATCGTTAAAAAATCATATTCATATTTATTACTATAGGTAATAAAAACATAATCGAATCGGTGTGTGTGTGTGGGCCAAAAACATTTCATGTGTGAGTGTGTGGTTGTGATGGTTTAGATTTTAGTTTTTCATCTGCCTGGTTTTAAAAACTAAACTCTAAAGAGAACAACAACATAAACAATGCAAAAAATATGGATAAAATGTAGCATGAGCGTTTATAAAATGATGGGTGGTATGCCTGTGTGTGTGTGTGTGATCTGATCTAATATGATTTAAATAAAATATTTAAAAACCAAGTGTACTTAAAATCCAGCTCGCTGGAATCACTTGAATCACCAGTTTTATCGATTTTGTTTTTAGCAGACTTATATTTGTATGTTCGGTTTTATCATTTTCGCTTTCGCTGGCATTTGTAATTTTATTCTCCGTTTTATGTTTTATATATACAAGTTTATTTTTGTTGCTAAGTTTCGCTTTTTTCGCCTTTTTCCCTTTTCTTCTTTTTCAGTTTGTTATTATAATTAAATTTGTTGTATATATATATATATATATATATATTTAATTACTTAATTGAGTTGTTTATATATTGCTGTTCTGGTTTTTGTTGCTGCTGCTGCTGCACTATTGTTTTGTTTGTTGGCTTTTGAGGGATTTTCTAAAGTATCCTTTAAATATTTATTTATTGGTTGGTTTCGTTCTTGTAAATATAAGGTATTTGTTTTTGTATTTTTTTTGTTTTTATATAAAGTTAACGTTAGGTTGTAAGGCGTCTAAAACCGCTGCTAATTGCGTTGTTGTGTCTGTGTGCATTGCATTTAGAATATTGTTTTTTTTTTTTGTTTGTTGTTGTTGTTTTTAATCCATCCTCAATGTTTAAACGGCTCCCGGGCTGCGATGTGCTCGTCCTGTTTGGTTATTTCTCAACTGTACATGATTTGTATGCGATTTAACTCTACTCTTAGCTTTTTAACTATCAAATTGCTGCTGGTGTGACTACTGTTGCTGCTGCTGCCGAAGATGTTGCTGCTGTTGCTGCTGCTACTGCTGCTACTGTTGCTACTGCCGAAGATGTTGCTGCTGTTGTTCCTGTTGCAGTTGCTCCTCTTGTTGCTGACGGACTCGCAACACGTTGTATTTGCATTTTCCTCCGACCTTTTCCTACTTTTAAGCTTTAAAATTCCATCTGCAAAAAGAAAAGCACACCAAACACACACACACACACACACACACGCACACGCAACATGCAACGCACAGAAAAAAAAAATTGGACACAAAGGATTCAGAGAAATGGGGAGTAATCACAAAGAGAAAAAAGAGAGAAATAGAAAAGAAAGCAAAAAAAAAAAAGAAAAACAAGTTATAATGTATATAAGTTATAATCAGGTATATATATCCGGATTCGATTTAACAAATTTGTCAGCCTGTTTTTTGCTTCCTGAATATACATATATATGAATGAAAAACCAAGGATATATCAAGGATCTGATCTACTTGGACTAAGATCTAAAACTAAGGTTTCTACAGGGTTTAGGTTTAGATTGAGGTTTCTGTTTCAGTTTCGGTTTCACAGGCTCAGCAGCAACAGCAGAGGCAATGACGCCAGCAGCGCAGCAATCCCTTCCTGCCCTCCTCCTCCTCCATTTCCTTCACCTGGTCCTGGTGGTCCTGGTGCTCCTTCTCCTCCTTCTCCAAATCCTTGTCCTGGCTTCTTCTACTCCTCCTTCTACTTCATCGTCCTGTTCCTCTTCTTCTCTTGGCAATGGCAGCTGTGCTTAGTCAATTTGCTTGGAGATCAGTCGTTGGTTATTTCTGGCCATGATGGCTGTTATGATGATGATGCAAGGCAATGGATGGGCCTGCCGATGTGGATGTGGCCACCATTCCGCCACCGTCGCCACCGCTGGACTTTTGCTGGCCAATCTGCGTCGCATTTTGCAGATTGGCAAAACTGGTGGGCGCCAGGAGGGCGCAGGTGCCAAAAGTGTGCTTTGGCATGCTCAGGAATCCAGCCCCTGTCCCAGTTCCTCCTCCTCCTCCTCCTACTGCTACCGCTCCCGATCCACTGCTGCTGCTGACAATGGCCTGTCCCTGGCCGGGACTCGAGGTGCCAGCGAATTTGCCCAGCTGATAGTAGTGCATCGCATAGGAATCCTCGCCAGCAGCACGCTGCTTGCCATTGGGAAAATAGCTATTGCTGCTGGTTGTCGATGTGCAGGCCGATTGAAAGGAGCTGCTGCTGTTGTTGGTGGTGGATGACGGCGATTGGGCAGCAATGGGTGGGCAGCCCACGGTGGAGGAGTCCACGGCCTCGGCCGAGGATGAGGTGGCTCCTCCCTCTCCCTCGCCCACTCCGCCCGATGAACTGGTGCTGCTGGATGAGGTGTTGACCGTCAAACTAGTGCTGCTGGCGTACGAGGCATTGAAGGAGTCATCGCCGCCGCCGTTGCCGCCGCCACTGCTGTTTAGCTCATCCGTGCCGCTGCCCGCTCCTCCCTCTCCTGCTGCTGGTGGAATGTCTATGGTGTGCGATTCGTTGCCAAAGATCAGACGCAGTCGCTTCTTCTGCGGAGTGCCGTACACACTGCTACTGCTCGGCGCTGGCGATCTGCGTTGGCTGCTCCTGCTGCGACTGCGCTGTTTCTTCCTCTGCTTCTTGGTGGGCAGTTGCTGCTCCTCCTTTGGCGGCGGCTCGTCCTCTTCCTCGGCCGCTGGCTCCTCGTCTTCATCCTTTGCGTTCACTTGCTGCTGCTGCTGCTGCTCGTGCTCCTCCTCCTCATCGTCGCCGTCGTCGTCGTCGTCATCGTTGCCATGCTCGGAAATGCCCTCCATGCGCAGGATCTCATACTCAATGCCATTGGAACTGCTGCTGCCAGTTAGATTTAGCGCAGCTCTATCCGATCCGTCTCCTCGGCCGCCGCGATGCGAAGATGCCGCTGCACTTCGGCCAGCTCCGCCGTTGCTCAGGCTCGTCCCCAGCTCAATAACTTCGTCCAGGATCGGTGAACGCTTCATGCGCAACGTTAGCTTCAGCCTGCGCTCTGGCGTCTTTAGCAGGGGTTCCACATTGCCAATGTTGCTGGGGGCAGCGGCGGCGGAGGAGGATGAGGAGGTTGATGAGGTGGCAGCAGCTTCCAGCGGCTGGGTTCTCTTCCGCTGCTGGCCACCAGTGGAGCCCGATGAGAAGCCGCCCAGTGCTTCGCAATGTATACTCTGTGCCGCTGCCAAAGCAGCTGCCCTTCGACTCCGTTTTTTGACCGGCGGATGATTGGTAACTCCTTCTTCGTTCCTTGGCTGCTGCTCCTTGGAGGGAGGAACGGGATCGAAGCTGGCCAAAAGGTTCTTCTTGTAGGCGGGACTCGGGCTGCGACTGCGACGCTTTGCCTGCTGCTGCTGCTGTTGCTGTTGCTGCTGCTGATGATTTTCTGAGGATGTGGATGTGGATGTGGATGAGGGTGTGGACGAGGCCTCACTTGGTGCTGGCTTCTTCGATTTAACACTAAGTCTACCGCTAAGATTAGAATTATGATTAATTCTACTGTTATTATTACTATTATGATTATTACAATTTGTAATCGTTGTTGCTTTGTTGCTGCTGCTGCTGCTATTTGTTGTGGTTGCAATGTTATTGTTTTGGGCAGTGGCTAATCCGGCTACCAATCCTCCTCTTCCCGCACTATTACGCGTCACACGCTTCTCCTGCTGCTGCTGCTGCTGCTCTTGTTGCTTCTCCTCCGTCTTTTCCGGATGTTCTTCCTCCGCTAGAATGAACATTTTCGGCGGCAACTGGTGGTGATCCTGCTGCTGCTGCTGCTGCTGCTGTAGCTGCAGCTGGTGCTTCTGCTCCCGCTTCTGCTGCTCGCTGCTGGTGTCGCTGCTCTCGCTGTCCGTGTGCTTCTCCTTCTGGCGCTCGCTACGTCGCAGCTGGCGTTGCTGTCGCTGGTGCAGTGCGGCAATGGCCAACTGGGCGGGCTTGCATCGAGGCACAAGGACCACTGGCGCCTTGGTGGACAGTGGAATGCTGGCCACGACCACCGACGGGGCCACCACCTCGTCCGTGGAGGCGGTGGATATGCTACTGCTGGTGCTATTTACACGCATCGATTTGCGCAGACTGCTGGAACGACCGCCATTGACCTCGGAGCCCGCTCCGCCGGCCACGCCGCCGCCGCCGCCCACTGTTGCGCCTCCAGCACCACCACCTCCTCCTCCTCCAGGTCCTGTTCCTGTTCCTCCTTCAACGCCTGCGACTCCGACTCCGCCACCTGGCTTCTGCATGGCTGCCATTTGCTGCACAGCCGCCGTGGCCTCGGCTCCAGTGCTTGCGTGCTGGCCATGATTGTGGTGATGGTGATGATGATGATGATGGTGATGGAAATGATGCTGATGATGGTGCTGCTGCTGGTAGGCGGCATTGGCCATTATCATCTCGGCATCGTACTTGGTCATGCCCTTTTGGCGCAGCTCCTTCATGGTCAGCGGGGAAACCACAACGTTGGGCAGTTTCTTTTCGAGCAGGGAGACAGCGGCAGTTGCAGTTGCCTCCTTGCCGCCAGTTGATGGCTGCATTGCCACAGGCACTGCTACTCCAGTGGCTCCAGCTGCTCCTGCTGCTGCTGCTGCACCTCCTCCTCCTCCTCCAATTGCTGCTGCTCCGCCGGAAACCATTAATCCGCCATTCGTGCTGCTGCTCTCGCTGGTGCCAGTGGAATCATTTGTATTGCTATTACTGTTCGACGTGCTGTTCGTGGAGTTGGCTCGGCTCTTGATGCGATTAATCCGATTGTCCGTCTCGCGCAGGCGATAGCCACCATTGTTGCCGGGTCCGCTGGTGGCCAAACCGAGTCCCATGCTGAGACCCAGCATCAGGCCATCATCCTTGCCGGCAAAGGCGCCGGTGCCGCGTCGCTCGCACGTCTCGCACTCGCAATAGCGATTGGAATCCCCAAAGAAGTCCTCGCCATAGAAACAGGTTATCTCCTCACCCACTTCGATGTCGCGCAGGACCTTCACACACGCGGTGTCCCTGCCGGTGGCCAAAAACTTGCAATTGGCCCGACAATCGTGATTTATGTAGGCAGCCGGACCCAGCCACAATTGGGCGCAATTCTTGCGGCAGCTATACATCACCGAAAAGTCATTTTTGCCCGAGTGTAACAGGGCCGCCTCCTCGGCCTCTGTCAGCTCAGCAATGCAGCCCACCAGGCATTCGATCTTGTCGTTCTTTGACCACCGTTTCGTCGAACTTATCTTGGCCCCGCGCTGCTCCTCCAGTGAATATCTGTAGCAGGCCTCGATCGCAAAGCCACTGTCCTTGTCGAAAACGCGCAGATAACGCACGATCTGCAAGAGGTTAAGGGAGAAAAGAAGCTCATATTAGTATACACGTAATGCTGGTAACACACTAACCAAATATGGAACCTAACATACGAAATGATGAGAAAATCATGGATTTATGCACCAACGATATCACTTACATGATCGTGAAGCCGCTTGGTGGCGATCTTGTTCTTGTTCTTGAGATGACGCGGTATCCAGGGACCATCATAGATGCGCTGAATGGCCACATCATAGTTCTGCGTGTGGATAAAGTCATCCACGATGGCCTTCAGCTGCTGCGTGTCCACCTTCAGCGGGCGGAAGCGTATGTTCATCTTGTGGGTCTGGAAACCTAGATGAGGATCAAGGATCAGCGATGTGGCCAGGTCATCGTTCTCGGAGAGTTCACGCGGCGACATGCCCGTGGATTGGGACAGGCGGCTAACGGCACTGCCGTTGCAGCCATTGAGTCCACTGACCACCGATCCAGTTCCTGCAGATCCTGCAGTTCCTCCTCCTCCGCCTCCTCCATTGCCACTGCCATTCGAGGAGTGATGCGAATGGTGGTGCTGGATGTTCTGCTGACTCGCCTGCTGAAAGTGGGCATGTGGGTGGTGGTGCTGCTGCTGATTCGCCTGGTGGTGCGCAGACGGCGGTGCGGATGGCGGCTGGCCATGGTGCTTGTGGGACATGGACGACAACAGAGCTGCCGCCGCCGCCGTCGTCGTCGTCGTCGTGGAATTGGTGGCTAGTGAAGACGTTGCGCTGGTGGTGCTGCTGGCCGAAGCGGTGGAGCCACCGTTTGAGCCACTGGAGCTGCTGCTATTTGTAAATCTGCTGCCAGTTTCACCGCGCCGCGTGTGATTCGAGCCGACGACCATTCTGCAGGACAGTCTGCAAGGATGAAAGACCATTAATGCACGAAAATAAGTGAAAAGTGCTAACGAAAAATCATATATCATCAATGTTTTTTTTTTTAATATCTTGTATTAAAATACACAATTTTTCAATTCTTACTGCCTTAGAATCAAAATAACTAAACAAAAATCGAAATCCCGGTGAATTAGCAGCTGTTTTTGAATTTAAATCGTAGAGAACCGCAAACTAAGATTCTATCTGGCAACGCTTCCGTTCTTGGGTTACATGGTTCAGAGCAAGATGGCAATATGTGTTCCAGGACTAGGACAAGTGCAATAGTATTTGCACACACAAACACTCCCTCTCTGTCCCTCTTTCGCGACAAAGGATAGTTATACAGATATTGTTAATCTGCAGAAACAGCTGTTTTATCACTAATTTTTGCTGTATTTATTCAACTTATCTTGTTGTGCTAAAATTTATGGCCGTAATTTTATTTTTACTCATACGGCTTCGCAAGGGAGAGAGATAGAGAGGGGTAGTGTTAGTGAGGTCGTCGACAGACAGCCCTCTCGCTCACACTCGTTCCAGGCCCTTCAAGCACACACACACACACGTGCGAAAAAAAAAATCAATTAACTTGACAAGCACATGTAAAAAACAAAAAAAAAGCCGTATCGATCGACGACAAAAAAACAAAGACAATACGGTAATCCTGGAAAAGGTATAGGTATTTGCACTCACACTTGTAGCGAACGGTATTAAACATAGTTTTGTGCGCGTATGTTGGTGAACAAAAAACAAACACAACAATAATTGATTATCGATTTTCATGAGCAGCAAACATTAATTTGCAATTTTGCATATTTTTTATGGCAGCGCGGCCATAATAACTCTTTTTTTTTTTTACTAACAACAGTCGGCGAAAATATTCAAATCATAAAACTAACATAAACACAAATGGGCGGTGGGTGGTGCTGGGAAACATGACTGGAAATTAATATTTGTTGCTGGCCGAATTGTTCTGAATGGAAATAAAATTTCGATTGCAAATTGCTCTCTCAGCTGTTTACAAACGCACACACACACGCACGCAGGCCAGAGCGAGAGAGCAGCATATGCGCAGTGAGAATGGCAGAAAAAGGGTTGCCGAGTGAAAAAAGGTTTGCAAATTAAATTAATTAGTGGGTAGGGGGCGATTTCAAAAAAGCTTTAGGGCTTACTTGGCATTTGCGGGATATTTTAAAGATTTCAGAATTTAAGGGTTATATTTTCCTTTTATTTTTATTTTCAGTTGCCAACGCTTTGTCAACCCTACGCGCTTGTTACATGGGAACGAAAAATGGCGGCGCCTGTTACACACACACACACGGCAACACATTCACACACACTCTGATGTGTTTATACACTTCTTGATTGCTTTTTTTTTGCACTTATTTCGATTGTTGTAAACATTTACCTTAAATGAATTATTCACTAAGGCGCTCTTGCCTCTCGCTCGCACTCCCAAAACGATGCTTTGTCTGCTGCTGTGTGCTTGTGTGCGTGCGTCTTTTTCCACGGCTTTTTGTCGAGACATACACATACACACGGCGACACACTGGACTTAAATTGGAATTGGTTTTGGATGGCTTGGCTTTGGCTGCGTATCCGAAATATATCACGTTGGCTGTGGCAAATCATTTTAGCTCTTGACGCCTTTGTTCCCCAAAAACATCCAAACGCCGTCCATGGCTCTCGCTCTCTCGCTTGCTCTCGGGACGCTCCAAAAGTCGCGAGTCGGGAATCTATCGCTCTCTCCTTCTCGCCTAGAAGCTGCTGCAGCGCACACAAACACACACACTCCCAGACGGATACATATATTCCTTAGCAGCGAGACGTGTGTACGTGCGTATGTATGTATGCCTTTTTCTTTGCTGTTCTTATCGATTCCTTTCTCACGTTCTCCTTTGCACAAACTTGTCTAATTTTCTGAACGGCGTAAAATCGGTGCTAAATCGGACTTAATTTACAAAATGCGGCCTGGTCGCGTTTTTTTTCCGCGATATGATTCCGTTTTTTTTTTGCCGCCAGTGTGACCGCGGCTAGGCCGTTGACAAATATCATCAGTGTGACCGAGCGTTTGGTAACTACGGTATTTAGCAGGGACATGCTCCGCCGGTAGCGGGGACTTCCACCGCTGGCACAAATTAAACATTTTCGGTTGGAAACTGGGATAGCCTTTTGGTATTTTTGGAAATGGTACAACAATAATTTTTTTGTCACACTGAGACGGTATATTTTACTTTTCTGCAGGCATTTAACTAATATAAACATTTTTGTAAAATGTATTTAATTTTCAATTTTTATATTACGGCATTTAATAAGCAAACATTAAAAGTGAGAAAGAATAGGAGATATATTTTTCGGTGTGACCATTTTTCAATGTAAAGTAAAGCCCTGCCAAACATCGTTTAGACCAATATTTTGATAACATAGATGACAGCGATGTTGGCATCGATGTTTCTCGACCTCTACCTCTACCTAACAGAGAAATGATAGGAACAGAAAGATAGAGAGAGAGATCTTCTGAGTTCTCTCGGCAAAATCGTAGAGACGGATAAACATGAAAATCTCTGCTAAACATCGAAAAGACCGATATTTTGAAAACATCGATGACATCGATGTGGGCATTGATGTTTCTCCACCTCTAGCGGTGAATTTGTGATGGGTTTCTGTTTTGTAGTGAAATATTTGCGGAGCGTCGAACTAACAGCGAAATGTTAGCGAAACGTCGAACTAACAGAAAGAGAGAGATTTACGAATAAACCTCGATATCTCTGCTAAACATCGATAAGACCGATATTTTAAAAACATCGATGACATCGATGTTGGCATCGATGTTTCTCCACCTCTAGGGAACACAGTTTTTTTTTAACTGCGAACGATCTGTCGAAATTGACGAAATTGGTGTTTGATTTTGTCCCCAAATTCAAGTTCTATTATTGTTGCAGTGAATACTTTAAGGTGAGTGGCAGTTAAACAGGACAAAAACAACGAAAGGCTGAGAAAAGCGCACTTGGAAAAACGAGGAAAAACTCACACACACATGCAAGAGCGGACAATCGGTTGCGTCTGTGTGCGTGTGAGCCAGTGCTTCAATCTGTGTGTGTGCGCATTTCTGGAAAGTGTTTCTTTTTTTTTTTTTTTTTTTTAATATTTTCTTTTTACGTTGCTATATTTCTGTTGCGGTGTTTTTTTTTCTATGCTTCAAAATATTTCTATAATTTATGAAATAATGCCGAAAAGGGGTATAAATATCCAAGCACTTTTTATCTCTACTGGTATTAAAAGTTTGTTATTTTATTAAAAATGTATTAAATTAACATAAATACGCAACACAGTGTACAAAGCTTGTTCAAACCTATCCTTGCATTTTCAAGTCAGACGAATTCTTTCTCTCTGGTTTTTAATAGAATACTTTTAAATACTTGCCTCCATTTTTCTTGTGCAGGAAACACGAGCGAACAAGCCATAAAATGCCCAGCATCAAGTTGCAGTCGTCTGATGAGGAGATTTTCGATACGGACATCCAGATCGCCAAATGCTCCGGCACCATCAAGACCATGTTGGAGGATTGCGGCATGGAGGACGATGAGAATGCCATTGTGCCGCTGCCCAATGTAAATTCCACCATCCTTCGCAAGGTCTTGACCTGGGCCCATTACCACAAGGACGATCCGCAGCCCACGGAGGACGATGAGAGCAAGGAGAAGCGCACGGATGACATTATCTCGTGGGATGCCGATTTCCTGAAGGTCGACCAGGGCACTCTGTTCGAGCTCATACTGGCTGCCAACTATCTGGACATCAAGGGCCTGCTGGAGCTTACCTGCAAGACGGTGGCCAACATGATCAAGGGCAAGACTCCGGAGGAGATCCGCAAGACCTTCAACATCAAGAAGGACTTCACGCCCGCCGAGGAGGAGCAGGTGCGAAAGGAGAACGAGTGGTGCGAGGAGAAGTAGAGGAGTCGCAGCCGTCTGGACCAGAATTTAAAGTAAAACATAAGCTGGCGGCTGCAAATGGAGAAGCAGCCGTCGTGCCGCGTGGGAGCTTTATTTAGTTGCTACTCTCTCAACTCATTTAACATATTTTTTTTTGTTTATATATCCTTGGTAAACCCTAATTTTGAAGTCTTATATCTGATCTGCTGCAAGCGACCTTCGTGCTTGATGTGATTCGCGGGTTTACTCTTATGTCACGTTGATATATTTCATATAATATATACATATATGCGAAAATGCTAAATTCAATGTAGCCTATATGCATAAGAACACTTTGATTTCACCTTAATAAATATGAACTACCCAAACAGCCGATTCTCTGGGCTTCCCCGTTTTCTGTTTACTGAAAAATGCGCTTCTCTGGTTCCCCGAATCGCAACTTCTTGTTCATTTCCTTGAATTGGGATGTTCGCTTGAACGAAACTCAATGCGAGGTCATTTAAGAGAACCCAAAACTTGATTTAATTAATAAAAATATATAAATAGTTTATCAATCCCCGGCTTTTTTCTAACCTTAAAGTACATATACATATATTTGATTTTGTGTCTGGATTTTGTATTGAGCTTTAAAAGTTCGGTTTATTCCAATAGACCGCGTATATAACGGAACTTAAATTGTTTGCATCTTGCTTTGTGTCGCCTCTCTCGCGATTTCATAATTTGGATGAAAGACGTGCTCTCCAGTAGTCACATTTAAATCACCTGCAAAAAAGTTTTTAATTTATAATAATCACATTAATAATTTAAATAGTGTAGACAAAATGGTCCACAAAAACACCATTGCCAAGGATGATCTCATAAACATAAATTGGACAGCAGCTCAAGCGAAATTTGGATATCTGGAACTTTCAGCAGAAACTTTGCACTTATTTCCAGACATATATGTACATATGTATGTATGTATGTTCATATGTACAATGTATGTAAGTACGAATTAAGTTAAAATATACAAAGCTCTGAAATGAGAGTGAAGGGAAATTAAAAGTGGAATACTTCCTCATTTTTCTTTTTTAAAATCACATAATAGTTGCATTTAATATATTATAGCCTTTGATTGTAAGCCAACGTATTTTGATAGAATTATTATTTTTTGAGGAGTGAATGACATTTTCCGTATCTTTTTCAGTTTTCCTTTGTTTTGTACCAATCGGTAGTGAGTTTTGAATTAATCGTTTGCATGTGTCTCCCTCAAGTAGAGTGTAAAATTGCATGTAAAATATATTTATACATGCAATGTATAAAATAGTTAACCGTTTCGCCATAGAAAACCGTTTCGAAGCGCGAAAAATAAAAAATTGTAAAATGCATTCGTACCTTAAATTAGCAAAACATATTTAATTTTCAAACTTTTGCTACTCATATTTTTATTCCCAAAAATAATGCACTTTTTTGTATTTGGTGAGAATATCCTAGTCATAGTAATTAGTTTTAATTAGCATCTTATTTAAATTACTCTTGGCTTGTCCAATTTATTTGTATTTTGTTAATTGGTTTAACAGCTTGGACAGCCATGGACTTTTAGTAATTAATTGTGCAGGTTAGTTTCCAGCAAATAATGCAAACTCATTTAGCAACAGGTGGGGCAAAAAAAAAAACCCTTCAAGGTTCCTTTGAAAACACGAAACTAGAAATACCCTTGCTGATTCATATGAATTTACCAAAGAGTCTTATTAATATGAAAAAAACATGTATTATTTTGTTTTTAGAAAAAATCAATTTTATTTCTTAAAATATACCCAAAAAAAGGTTATATGATAGATGATAATTGTAAATGTTCCGTTTAACAATTCATTTGTTTAAAATACATATGTATATATCTAAACTAAAACTATATAATGCCAAAGTCATATTATCCTTGGAGAGGGCACGAAAATTGCTAGAATGTCTTTTGCGTTGACGTCTTCTTTGTAGTCGAGCTCATTTCGTTAACACAGCTGATAAAGGTGCCACGAACCTCCCTTTTCACTTTTTTCATTTACTGAAAGGAGCAAACAGGAGCTGATTTTCGTGAGCGGGAAATGAATTGAACAATCGCTTTGAGAGTGCAGTTGGCTTAAATGTCCGTGTCAGACTTTGGAATTGATCGATGTCCACAATCCAGAAATTGATACAGAAAAAAAACAAAGGGGATAAAGTTGGCAAGCGATGATCCAAAGTGAAAGTTATTCATTTTCACCGGGATTTGTCTTTGGCCCAACTGACATTGAACTTAGAGAGTACAAAATCTGAAAACTTATTGCAACTTTTAGGGAACACCACAAAGCTGAGAAAATGTAGGTTTTTGAACCTGCTTTTAAATTATTAAAGTATTTAAAGCTTATGCACATTTGACATCCATAAATTTTAACTTCGTCTGCATATTGTCCATTTAGTATGCAAGTGTCAATTGCGAAATTAAATCGAAATCGTAATTTCAATTGCCACTTTGTGTTATGGTTGCGCAGCGTGGCAAGCTATTAATATTGTTGTTTTATTATTATTAATTATTTTTATTTTTTTGTTCATCATGGGGAACGGTGTTATTGTGTTTGACTTGGCGCCCCCTTTTTTTGCCGCCCCACACTCCAGGGGCGCTCGTCATTTCAATTATCATGGGGGAGGGGGGTACAGAAAAAGGGGCTTGAGCTGAACACTGAACGAAGAAAGAAAGCCAGGCAAATAAAAGCAAGACAGAGCCAAGGAAAATACTGGGAAAATGGCCTGGGCAGAGGAGTGGAAAAGTAAAAAGGGTTTTCCACTCCCTCTGCCAAGGAGTAATTAGTGTGCATTTCCTTGGCCCCCTCCCCCACCAAAATCCCTCCCTTTTGCGCGTGTGTATGTGCAACATTTGCTTTTCCACTTCGTTTGCGACAATCAAATGTAACAAAGAAGCGGAAAAAAGGTTGCACAAAAAAAGAGGTTGAGGCAGGAGGAAATGCCAGGAACAGGAAGCAAAAAGGAAGATCAGGAGCAGAAATGCACTGGGGGAAAATATGAATATAATCAAGATATTTTGTGTAGGCACTAAAAAATAAAACACAAAACTATGTTCGCGAATTCTTAAGCCTTGAAAGCACGGACTCAAACCCGAATATTAAATATATTTTTTTATATTTTTTCCAAAACGTAGGTTTCTACCTATTTTTTGATCGTAGGCTGGATACTTGCAAACATTGAAATATATTTTATATTATATTTTTATTTTTATATTTTTATATTGAATTGTAACTTTACATTCTTATTCAGACAGTTTTTTTGATTGTAGGCTGAGATCTTGTAAACATTAAACATTTTTTTATGCAGTTTTTTGTTTTAAATTTGTAAATTGAATTGTAATAACCCATTACAACAGTTTTTTGATCGTACGCTGAGATCTTGTAAACATTGTAATACATTTTGTATGGAATTTGTTGTTTTAGAAATTTTAAATTAATTTGTAATGACCCATTAAAATCCCCTCTTGAAAACTTAATGTGCAATTTAGATAGTGGGCTTTCGAGTTCGCAGTGCATTGGCTGGAGCACCTGCCATTCGCCATTGCCACTCGGCACTCACCGGGCTGGGCCCTTTTATCGTCTAAGTCGTTGTCCTCCAGTGGAACGTGACATTGAATACGTCTGCATCCTGGTTGCTCCTCCACAGTACTCCTGCCTAGACCCGGTTTCTTCCACTTTTCAGTTCCTGGCCAATGCTAATCTCTCTGTAATTAAGACTGTCACTCATTCAGGCATTTGCTTGCCATTCAGTTTGCCCATCTTGGGAACTTGGCAAGACCCTACTCCTTTTCGTCCTTGCATCAATGGCGCGGGCGGATGGGTGGGCGTGGCCCATTTGAATTGCCTCTAATTGCATGTTGTTGTTCCCACTCCCAATTTCCTCGGGAATTGTTGTGCTGTGCGCATCTCTTGCATCCTCTTCATGGGAAAATGGGAATATGGGAATCTCCCTTAACTCGAGAGGAATTGGATTTCAGGTTCAGGATCAACTTGGGGATCACAGAGGGTGAAATTGGCTGGTCTAAATGTGATTTTTATTTACTTCCACTTGACTTGGAAGTTTGCTAAAGAATATTAAAAGGATGCAACAAAGAATACAATTGCTGGGATAACCAAATGGAGAAATGTCTAGTAATTAAGACTGTAATGAAAAACCCCAGGCAAATAATACAACAAATGGTTGCAATTTAATTTGCCTCTTGGATTTCATTTAATGTTTACAAGTCCCCTTCATATTTAACCACCATCGATTTGAATTTCTAAACACTAATATAAAAAGCGATTATTTTGATTTTAGAAAATGAAATGTGACACAAATTAAGCTGCTAATTGGGAGCGCTAAAAATGAGACTCAAATATAAGGAGGTCACCTAATCGTAAAGTGTCACCTAGTAAATTTACGATAGACAGATTCTCACTCCCCCGAGGGTGATCGGTTCTGTTCGATTGCGTTTTTGGGGGAATGAATGGAGCAAGTGTTGTGCTTTGCCATTAAGTTGCTTTATGATCCGCCGCCATAAATTAGCGCAAACATTGGATCAGCCAGAGACTTGGACTTGGACTCCACCACTCACCACTCGACTCTATTAATATCCGAGTTGGGGGAGTGTTTGGGAAGTGTCGAGGAGTGTCGGGTTTGCCCCACCGCCCGCACACAAACCCAGAGATTTATGGCCTCCGATGGGAATGCGTGGGATGTTATCGTAGGACTTGGTCTATCGTCCACACATCGGCAAATGCATAATCCACACACATGCTTCTGTGCTATAAGTGAGGAATATCTATGCGATATATGACGAGGCGATGTGTAAGTGTAAATTTCATCTGGCCTCTGAGAATACCCCCTCGCATCACCAATGCAAATGTAAATAATGCAACTTTCGGTCGCCCCATCCATCAAAGTCTTATGGGGCGGATGGGGTTTTCAAAACTGGGACTGCTTGTTTAGACTTGGGCATTCGGGGGTTTCTCGAGGAGGGGCTGCTTAAACGTTTTGTTTATTGTTGGGCATCGACTTTTGTCGACCAACTCAACCAGCACTAAAATCGATGATGCTGCACTGCTCGTGCCATGTGCTTAAGAGCAACGATTGTATCTCAAATTATTGTTTACTAAGTCTTTACCAATATTAACACCTATGTTAAGGTTGTATATGTATGTCCAAAAAGTAAATAATTAACTAAAAACGGTCTAATAATGCAATGCACTGAGCAAAATGAGACATATTGTGTCTATAGGAATTGCATGGTTATCCACTGATAAAATATGGAATAACAAAAATAAATATACATATGACTATTAAATTCAAACTTTTATATGTTGCATTTCATTGAAATATTT